AGTCACTGGAAGACAACTATATGGATCGTTTCCTGGTCAAGCCAATTGCTACAAACAATCCTCTTAGGAAGAGTGGCCTTTGAAAGTGTTGTTTGCCCTGTAGTTTTTGGCTTGCAAAGACCAAATGTGCAAGGCTGCATTTGTTTGCAAATATGACAGATCTTTATGACCTGTGTGGAGAATTAGTCACTATTTCAACAAAGACTGATAATGGTCCCATATTGGTAGTTACAACTCCGCTTCAAATGGCTGAACCCTAAATAAAAGGTGGAGTGCCTGCAGATCACCTCTTGCATTATGCATGTAATCAACAGAGGTAATTTCTTTCTAATGTTTACAGTGATCTAGATCTAAACATCTAGGTATGGCAGGTTTCCTACAGAGCTCTTGTATCTTAAAATGCACCAAACCAGCAGTTTTGAAAACCGTCAAAATCTTTAAGTACTGAACAAATGCAAAATGAGCAAAAGTGTGACAGTGTGGTATGGGTGGTCCCCTTTGTTGCTAGACAGTGGGAATTAGGCAAGGTTTAAGTTTAAAAAAAAAAACCCTTTATTTGTGAAAAAAAAAAATAGTGCTGTCCTCCGAACTAAAATGTAAGTCATATGCACACTTTTCAGATTTGGCTATTTAACATGGACTAGTAAGTATTTGCGTACTGTAAATCTTCCAAGATCCAGAATCTACAGCAAAGCTATTATGCACTACTGGTAAAATATACCTGTATTATAGACTGCAGTGGACCAAAGAGTGTATATATAGTTAAAAAAAAAAAGACAAACCTTTAGATCTGTGTACCCTTAAATGATTGATTACTGTACAAAACTTGTTAAAATACCATGGTTGTACACTATAAAATCTTAGATCTGCTATGCGTGTCTGTAGGGTCACACATAGGTATGAATTATATGTATCCTTTTTAAAATAGGCTCTAATTGAATAAGAAAATCCAACAATTACACAAAAGTTCAGATCTGAGAAAGGATGCAATTAACCGACCTTTACTAAGTGGAAAATAACTATACTGCTACATTAGGGGAATCTTACAACACTTTATATATGTAACCAATACGAGATATAAGACTTGAAAGGTTTCTTTTCTGAATAAACTTTATTTTTTTTAGTATGATATTCTAGTCCTCTCCATCAAAAAAATTGTACTGATGTACAACCTAATGAAAAAAAAAAAAAAAAAAAAAAAAAAAAAAAAAAAGATGTGAGGTTCTAAAAATGTATTTCCAAATATCACAAAGAGAGCCCATAGCAAAAAAAAAAAAAAAAAAATCTCTACACTAACCTATTGCAGTATTCAGACTGAAAAAAAAAAACACCACTGTCTATTGGTTTTAAGATTCTGCCATGCAATGGGGAAAAAAATCAAAATGCAGAAGAGGAAATAATGGACTTTGCATACAGATAGGCAGCCAGAGGGAAGCGACAGCAACATTTTTTCCTGTAAATATTGAAAAATGAGAGGTGTTATGGGCTTACCAAGTGAACAGCTCAAATATTTTCTTAATCTATGAGAGGCTATAATTTTCAGCAGATTATTAGGAGTATTACTATTGATGGACAGTAAGAGTATATGTTTTGCATAGCACATATCTATACAGGCATTATGTACTATTGGTTATGATGTACTTCAAATGAGACAGCTGATGACATATGCTAAATCAAGTTATCCATAAGCTGTAGCACCAAGTCACAGCCATATAAGCCCACAGTAATTATTCGTTTTAGTGATACCACTCAGTCTATTCTATCATCTGTACAAAAACCTAAAATATGAAATATTCACATATTTAGAACAGTGAGCCTTTTAGGTGGCTTTAGGGTTTATGGAGCATGCTTTGTGATGTTTGTGCTCATGGCTTCTCACCCCAGTATTGATTTTGCACAGATGTCTTGAATATGACATTACAAGAAGTCCCTACTGCATGGACAATTTTATACAAAGTTGGTCGATTTGACATTCATGTAAAAACAATGTGTCTTTTTAACAAATGACTCCAATTATATTTGTTACCGGTCTGCAAGGCAACTTATGTTTTGTATATGCTCATTCCATACACTAGGAAGAAATTAAATAAAAGAAGCCCTAGGATATCTAAGTAACTTGCCTAAAACAGAACTGGCTCCAACAATATTGTTTTTGTGCTGCAATAAAAAGAACTCTTGTAAAATAACCCTCACCCAACTATAGGAATATATTATATAGCCAACATTGTAACTTTGCTGGTCTTTAGAACATTCTACAAGTGACATGTTTACTAGATGTTTATTGAGAAGCCATATAATGCTGCCTTAAATGTACTTTTTATATCCCACTGCTAAGAAGGGCACCTAAGAAGGGCTAATAAATCATCATCTTGGACAATAGCTCACTGTAAACGTGTTCCTCAGAAATGTACTCCACCATGTATAACAAATTGTATAGCAAAGCCAAGACAGAACTATAAATAAAACAGCAAGTGCAATGGCATTTTGCATTACTTATTACTACAAATATAAATAGTATAGTGATTAACATGGAAATACTCTCATGTGCAACATAAGATCTAAAGTCAGTTTTTGCCAAGGTAGGCATTTTTTAGTAATTCGAAAGCACCCATTTCAGGTCTGCTAGATACAGCTTGTGAAGTGGTCCAGCAAGAGTTATAGCACCTTTGTTAGCTAGTGCCATAGGGTTGTTAATCAAGGTCAGTGTATACAATATGTACCTTTGCCATATCATAAATAAGTAAATGTTTAAACTGGTCTATTGTTCGTGCCTTCCTCTGCTGAATATTTGCAAAAACAGAAAAAAAAAAAATACACAACAGAAAAACAGGAGGGTGTATGCAGCAAAGATATAAAACAGAGAGGTATACAAAGGACAGGAAATCCTTGACATTAGGCAAAACATGGTACTGCACAAGGGCAGGTGCTGAACTTCTCTATCCCACCCCAGGTATTCCATTTTCAACTAAATGCCTCCTAGCTCAAAAGGCATATATACACAAAAAAACATCAAGTACTTATCTCTCTTCCATCTTGGCTTCTAAAGTAAAAAGAAGGCAAGGAGATCCATATACAGAAGCCCTTCATTTTTCTTTTATTAAATATGAATAGATTTTGGTGTGTACCAACACCTTAATTAGTGTAAAACATAAGCAAACAACGTGAACTTCTGTGAAAGCTTTCCTGCAGCCTTCTGAAGCTTATATTTCTATGCATCATATCATCTAACAGTTTTATTAATATGAATATCTCACAGAATAAAATGTAAAAATCTGTGCTATTTCAGTTTAAATAATGAACTTAGAGCTGAAAGTCCCATTGATAATACTGTTATATGCCACCCTAAAGCATTTTATGCACTGTTTTTTGGTCCTAATTTTGAAACATAACTGAAAAAAGGCAACCAGATCCCTAATTTGAATGTGAAGGAAAAGTTAATTTCATAGAAACTTACTAACAAAGTTAAAAATGAGGGAATCCATTTCATTACTCAGTGGCTAATTCGTTTTTTTGTAGACTGTGTCCTAGTATGGATGAACTCCATGACACAAGGGCAAAACTATGGTATGCAGGTCCAAACAGGGTAATGTGCAAAATACAAATATCAACTTAATAAATACAATTTATAATCTTAAGATAGATAAATAAGTAACATACTTGCATAGAACCTGAAAATACATTGTACATCTGGCAGTAAATTATATATTACGCATAAATATATGGTTTATATTTGCACTGTGATGATCAGGACTCAGAAGACAATCTGGAAAATGGATGAAAACATTTGTAGCATATAGTTTATAACCGTTGAACTGCTGTAGAAGGCAAAGCAATTGATTTAACTGGATACTTAGTCAATATCAAAGCATAGGTATTTATGTAGGTTAAGAATTACATTTTTTTCCCATGATGTTCTCCGTAAACCCAACCTTGACAACAGATTGTATTAAAACACTACCACGGCCACTGTAATTCCTTAAAACAGGAGACTACGATTGTACCCATTATTTCGGTATCACTATTTTATTTTAATTTAATGTGATTTTGGCTGAGGGAGTCGGGATTGCCTCTTTGGGATGGAGCAAGCATCAGTTTCACGCATACCATCTTTTTTAAGGGGCCTAGGGATAACTGAAGACAAAGTCTTTCCTGGAAGTTTTGGGGGTTCCTTAGGAACATCTTGTGAAAGTACATCGGGCTTGGAAACATTTGGTGCCTTTAGTTTGGAAGGAAGATTACTAGGAGGTCTGAGCAATGATCCCTTGGGCATTAACTTACTTACTGGCTTTGAGGGTTCAGCTGCTGGAGCTCGCAGTTGAGAAGATAACTCTCCTTCACTTGACAACCTATCAGTTGATGGCATTGTCAGCCTATCAGTTGATGGGATTGTACTATGAATTAGGTGTCTTCCATCTGGCATGGTTTTAGTCAATAGCGACTGACCAGAAGGTGACTGTATCCTTTCCAACTTGCTAGCGTTGGAGTCAGGAGTGACATGTACAGTGGTCTGATGCACAGGATTGGTATTCGGTATTATCTGTTTCTTTTTGGTAAGGAAATTCTCTTGCTGACAAGAGGGGCTTAATGAACTCATCAAAATTTTAGAGTCTGTGGAGCTACTGTTTGGAGAGGATAAAGTGTTTCCTCGATGTGCCAAAGTATTTTGCAGTTTTGACTTTGGGCACTGCAAGGTCTTTGGGCTTGAAACTTGTCCAGGCAATGATGCATTTGCACTTGTTTTAGGCTTTACATCCTTTTGTTGACTAGGTGAAAATTGTGGAACAAGGTCAGTAGAATATGGTCTAACATTTTTGTTCTCATCAGATTGTGCATGATTTTTGTCATGTTTCACTTTAATATTTTTAGGATTGTCTTCCCCATCATTTATCTTCAACTGAGTGCTTAACAGATCACTTAGTTCATTTGTAGGGATGATGGAGCTGGCACCAGAGTCCTCACTCTGGTAGGAAGATATACATTGTTGGATTTGCTCTTCTGGTTCATTTGGGACCCCGATAGGTTGACATGCTGTTAATTTTCCCGAGGGGTGGTCTGTGGAACTGAGGGTGCTGCTGGAACACTGTAGTATTTGAGACTGCAGAAAAAAAAGGAAAACATTTATTAGGACTGAAACAAAGTGTTCAATTTTTATTTAGGGAAATGACGGTTCACCAAAATGCTCAAGAATTAATTTCCATGGCAAAACTTCATATTACCAATTATTAAGGTTGACAAACATGCATATGCAAATACATAAAAAACTAAAAAGGTCATATTGTAGTTTATTACAGAAATTATGCATGAGCCAAAATAATATTCAACATTCCACTGTAAATTATGCATTCATATTTATATTTAATGTTGTCAGGAATAAAAAATGCAAATATTAAATGTACACAATTACTGCAAAACTAAACAGTATGTACTGAGGCAAACAGTTTTTCAATGCAAATTTTTGCCTCATTAAAATGTTTATAAAGTAATGGTGTTATTGAATTTGTTCATTCAAGAAGGCAGTCCATCCAAAATAGACGTATAGAAACCGCTACTGGCAATACAACAATATGAAGTAAAAAGTACCCAAATTAAGAGGAGCGGTTTTTGGACATAGAAAGCCTGTATCTCGGAGTGAGCCAACTTCCTGAGACCAGCAGAAAAAATTAAAGTAGCATGGACAATGCATCTGAAAAGAATATGCTTGGTAATCCTTCAGCGATGCACAAAATATGATATCTTACTGAATGAAGGCATTTTACTGTAGAAAAAATAACTAAACACATGGGTGCTACTTTCTAGAAATACTACCTGCCTGGGTATCTTTGGCTTCAACAACTTTTGCATTACCGACCTAGAATAAGTATGCAATTAGAAGGTCAGAGTGCAGTCAGAGCTTCTGATTTACATACTGCTCCCAAGAAAGTATTGAAATCATTGCATTACAACAGAGGGTTTAGGGATAAACCTCCTGAGCTGTAAATCTAGCCCTAGGCATGAAAAATGTTAACTTTAAAATTGCTTTTCACCCCATTATGCAGAATGACATATAAGTTAATAGAATGTGACCTAACAGAGTAAATATTAATATTGAGGGTTTGGTGAATTTCCCAAACAAGGTTTATTTTAAAGTACATTGAGCATGCTCTGTGTCAGGCTTGGGCTGCATTCACACCTGAGAACAACGATTTTCAGTCGTTTGAGCTTTTTTTGATTATTTTTGCAAGTGTATACAGGTGTTTTCAGAACTGTATTAAAGGCGTTTCACATGTGTATTCAAGCTTCAGGCTTTTTGTTTTAGTCCATGGAAATCACTAGGGGGGGAGATCAGTTAATATTGGCAAAAAAAAAAAAAAAACATGCCTGAAAAAGCACTTGAATCAATCATTTTCAGGCGTTCCCATTTAAGTCTATAGGGCCAAAAATGCTCAATTCTGCCAAAAAAAGCAGTTTATGTACTTTTTGGAGTGACAGGTGTTCATCTACAAGTGGGAGGACACGCAGATGGCTTAGAAGGGCTATTGAATACAATGGGTTTTTGCTGGTGGAGCGTCTTTGAACTTCAAGCTACAAAACTCTCAGATGTGAATAGTTCCTTCACACTACAATCGTGGTGAAGCTCCTGCTGGTGGAGCAGGAGCTTCTTTTGGGCGACGAGGTTTGCCGCGGTTGGGCTGTGATACACTGTTGAGTTGCTTAGCCTTGTTTCCACATCCTAAGCATGAAAACATAGAAAATGGAGTGGGGAAAAAAAATGGCAGCAGGTGCTCTGGACAGAGGATTAAAAATTTTAAATATTTGGCTGTAGCAGGAGGCAGTTTGTTTGTAAAGGGCAGGAGAGTGGTACAATAATAAGTGTCTGTTCAACAGTGAAGGTTCCCTGCAAATTTGGAGATTTGGTCAGGATCAATGGTGTCCTTAATGCTAAGAAATACAGGCAGATACATATCCATCATGCCATACCATCAGGTAGCTGCGTGATTGGCCCCAAATTTATTCTGCAACAGGACAACGACACAAACATGCAGCCGATGTTATTAAAGCAGAGTTCCACCCTTTTTTTCCATGATCCTTGCCATACAATGCCCACCCGCAGAACAATCTGTTATGGGATTTTTTTTATTTATGGATTTCTAAATACCTTTTTTTGCTGTCAGTATCCTGCTCTTTCGGTCTGACCGCCTAGGCGATTTCATCATTAGGCGATTCCCTAGGACTCTTGGGAAATTGCCATTGGTTTTCCCAGGTGTCTTTGGGAAGCCTAATGGTGAAGTCTTGCAGGATTTTTTGACCCGAAGTGAAGTTATCGGGAGGAATGATTGACATGTTGCCATAACAACAGGGCGGGATCTTCCGTCGCCACCTCCATTGTTATGGCAACCTACAAACAACAGTGTGCTATCCTGTGTCCTTACAACGCAAGCGCGAGATCAGGAGGTGCATGTTGGGTAGCCAGCTGCACCGAATCCAGAAGAAAGTAGGAGCTAGCTTCAGATGCCCACACTAGTATTGGCCGCTGCCTGCCTGCCGGGATCCTGCTGAGGAATGTCACATTTACAAGTAAGCAAACGACATACACTTAGAACACTGTCCTAATTATATACTGCAACTGAAGAGAATCACTGAGGTGCTTTTTATAGAAAAGTGCTGAGGAGACTGGAACTCCCGCTTTAAGAACTATCATCAGCATAAAGAACAAGGAGTCCTGGAAGTGATGGTTTGGCCCCCACAGAGCCCTGATCTTTACACTGGATTGATAAAGTCAGTTTGAAATTATGTTTTAGTTCTTTATGCAACTATGCGGAATTAACTCGTAATAGGAATGTTCCATGTACTGTAGGTAATAATGTAAAGAAATTTGAAAATTAGGTGAACAATTGGTAACACACTACGCCGATACGCCAACAAGGATTGAAATCCTGCAGTGCCTGCAAGGTCCCTCTGCTCAAGAAAGCACATGTCCAGGCCCGTCTGAAGTTTGCCACTGAACATGTGAATGATGCAGAGGAGGACTGGTTGAAAGTGTTGTGGTCAGATGAGACCAAAATCGAGCTCTTTAGCATCAACTCAACTCTCCGTGTTTGGAGGAGGAGGAATGCTGCCTATGACCCCAAGAACACCATACCAACTGTCAAACATGGTGGTGGAAGCATTCTGCTTTTGTCCCAGCTGCCTGGATTTCATTGACAAGATCATCACGATCAGTTCTGGGATGATTCCTCACTGTTCTCATGATCATTGACACGCCACGAGGTGAGATCTTGCATGGTGCACTAGACCTAGGGAGACTGGCAGTTGTTTTGTGTTTCTTCCATTTGCGAATGATTGTACCAACTGTTGTCACCTTCTCACCAAGCTGCTTGGCAATAGTTTGGTAGCTCATTCCAGCCTTGTGTAGGTCTACAATCTTGTCCCTGACATCCTTGGACAGCTCTTTGGTCTTTGCAATGGTGGAGAGTTTGGAATCTGATTGTTTGATTGCTCCTGTGGACAGGTGTCTTTTATAAAGGTAAAAAAATTAGATTAGCAGTGCTCCCTTTAAGAGACGGCTTCTAATCTCAGCTTGTTACCTGTATGAAAGACACCTGGTAGCCAGAAATCCTGCTGAATGATAGGGATCAAATATTTCCCTCATGAACAAGCAAATCAGCGTATAATTTGTTAGACATCCATTTATTTTGCATTTTTTGTTGCTATTCTGTCTCTCAGTGTTACAATACACCTACCATTTGATTTTTAGACTGATCATTTCTTTGTGAGTGGGCAAACATTCAAAATCAGCAGGGGATCAAATACTTATTTCCTTCACTGTATGTGCCACTTTGTGTTGGTCTATCACATAAAATCCCAATAAAATACATTTACGTTTTTGGTTGTAGCATTGCGAAATGTGGAAAATTTGAAGGAGTATGAATACTTTTTCAAAGCACTGAATGTACCATCTGAAACAACATGTATATACTGTAGAGCATTGACAATTAATATTGTGTAAGAAAAACCCTTCATCTAATCAGTACTGTGTCAAAGCAGGCATTCTGCAGCTGCTTGTTTGTTCAGGACCACTTTTTAATTACACAATGTCTGTAGAACAGCACGTTCCTATACCCAACCCCCAATGATACCATCAATGTAATCCAGTAATTAAAGGCAAGAATGTGCAGGGTATGCCTGTCAAATGCCTGACAGGTTTCTGTGAAGCTAGAAGAATGGACAGAACCTTTGACTGTCTGAGGTTAAGTTTGTGACATCATTCACTTGCCTCTGTATCTTAGCCAATCAGATGAAGCCTTGTATTCATTAATAAAACACAAGGTTTTTCCTAAATGACTGAAAAGCATTAAGGTTGACTCAAATTTGTTCTTGCAGCAGATGTCAAACACAGCACTGCATACCGTATGTAGCTGATGCAACTACAATATGATACAGTGTACAGAGTTCATTTTGTAATGGAAATAGTACATTTGGGTCAGCTTGGCTCAAATTATTTAAAATGCCAGGGAACCTGGAATTCAGCTTTAAAGCTGAACTCTGAGAATTAGACAAAATATACTTTTGTGGGGGCCCTCCAAATTGCAAGGGTTCAAAGTTTGTTTAGTCTAGGAGTGCAGGAATAAGCTGTACTACTTACCCTATCCCTTAGTGTGGCAACAAGCATTTAACCCTTGAAGTGCAGGGGGCCAATAGTGCAAGGACATATTTTATATGATTTATGGAGTTCAGCTTTAATAAAGGGTCCACTTTTACAGGATGTAGTGGGTTGCTTTCACATACATTTCCAATTAATTTATTCAAAGCTGTATGGTACTATGCTATAAGTGTTGGTATCCACTTGGGTATATAGCATTAGTTTCATATTTATTGAGCAGCTTGCCACTTTTGTATCCATGTCTGTACACTCAGAAAAGTACAACACAAGTCACAAAAACCTTTAAAAAAAAGACAAGAGCCCGCTGTGTAAAAACTTGACTGTTGCATGCAAGACAGTATGGATCGTGCAACATGCAGGAGTAAATGATTCCACAGTGTGATGTCAACAGACAGAGGTAAGCAGTACATGGGAAGTAATTTTAAATAGTACTATACCACGCTTTATCAGAGAAGTAATGGACTAACTCCTCAAATCCTTTCCAGTGGCAAATAGGGAAGCAGCAACAGGGAGACAAGGACAAATGGCATCAGAGCAGCACATACAACAGTGACTATTAGGGCTGGAACAGAACAGGATATCATGTATTTCGACTAATTTACCAAAACATTTTGGGGCTCATGCATCAAAAGTATGTGGTAACAGGAAAGAAAATCTTCCTGTTGCTTATAACAAATCAATTGCTACTTTAAAAACTCCTGTAAAGCATCCACCTATTTCACACTATAAAAGAGAATCTGGGTCACAAATATCTGTTTACACTGTAATCAAAGCTAAAAACTACCCTAAAAAGGCTCCTTAAAGTTCAACAGTAAAAAACAATAAAATTTTATATTTATATATATATATATATATATATATATTTCACCTTAAGTACAGTATCAAGAAAAAGTATGTGAACCCCTTGGGATTACGTGGAGTTTTGCATGAATTGGGCATAAAATGTGCTCTGAACGTCATCTAAGTTACAACAGAAGAACACAGTCTGCTGAACATAATACTACACAAACATTAGATGTTGCCATAGTTTAATTGCACATAACATGTAAACATTCACAGTGCAGGGAGGAAAAAGTATGTGAGGCCCTAGCTTAATGACTTCTCCCCCAGAGCTAATTGGAGCCAGGAGTGAGCCAACCTTGACTCTAATCAGTGTGATGATATTGGATGTGTTGCTGACAGCTGTCCTGCCCTTAAAAAACACACACCTGTTTTGGGTTTACTGGTTTCAAGAAGCACTGTCTGATGTGAACCATGCCTCGCAGAAAAGAGCTCTCAGAAGACCTACCATCAAGAATTGTTGACTTGCATGAAGCTGGAAAGGGTTACAAAACTATCTCCAAAAGCCTTGATGTTCATGTGTCCACAGTAAGACAGACTGTCTACAAATGGAGAAAGTTTAGCACTGTTGCTACTCTCGCTAGGCGTGGTCGTCCTGTAAAAATGACTGCAAGAGCACAGCGCAGAATGCTGCATGAGGTAAAGAAGAATCCCAGAGTGTCAGCTAAAGACCTACAGAAATCTCTGGCACATGCTACCATTTTTGTTGACACATCTACAATAAGGAAAACATTCAACAAGAATGGAGTACATGGGAGGACACCACGGAGGAAGCCATGTCCAAAAAGAATATTGCAGCACGTTTGAAGTTTGCAAAAGAGCACCTGGATGTTCCACAGCACTACTGGCAAAATATACTGTGGACAGATGAAACCAAGATTGAGTTGTTTGGGAAGAACACAAAACACTATGTGTGGAGAAAAAAAGGCACAGCACACCAACATCAAAACCTCATCCCCACTGTAAAACATGGCGGAGGAGCATCATGGTTTGGGGCTGCTTTGCTGCACAGAATACGCCTTCTGGAGTGGCCCAGTCAGAGTCCTGACCTCAACCCGATTGAAATGCTGTGGCATGACCTTAAGAGAGCGATTCACACCAGACATCCCAAGAATATTGCTACACTGAAACAGTTTTCTGAAGAGGAGTGGTCCAAAATTACTCCAGATCGTTGTGCAGGTCTGATCTGCAACTACAGGAAACGTTTGGTTGAGGTTATTGCTGCCAAAGGAGGGTCAACCAGTTAAGTCCAAAGGTTCACATACTTTTTCCTCCCTGCACTGTGAATGTTTACATGTTATGTGCAATTAAACCATGGCAACATCTAATGTTTGTGTAGTATTATGTTCAGCAGACTGTGTTCTTCTATTGTTGTGACTTAGATGACGTTCAGAGCATATTTTATGCCCAATTCATGCAAAACTCCACATAATCCCAAGGGGTTCACATACTTTTTCTTGCAACTGTATCTGGGTTTTCATTTTCAATAGACTGTGGATAAGTGAGGCATAAACGCACTTCCCCACTAATACAAATCCACACTAAATATCATGAGATGGCTACTGTACATTTCAATTTTTTTCTTTGAGTTGCTTTGAAAAACCTTTCATTTACCGACAAGTTCAGTAAGCTTGGCCTTTAAATTTGAATGAATATTTCAAAGAGGCTTCAAAGTGAAGTTTCAGAACCTATTTGTGATAATTCAACCTCAAGTAAAAAAACACGCCTTCAGTTACATTTACTCCCTAGCATTAAAAGTGAGGGACTTTAACTGAAACGAGCAGTATGCAGGAGTGCTGAGCCAAGTCTTGAAAGTCTGTAATAGGCAGACTAACTGCTACTAACTCTGGGTAAATATTTCCAGCCTGATTGATAGCCCTCACTTTCCCTAAACATGGTGGCCCAGGTGGAGGCTGCTTTGCCGCGCACACAATTAATCAGTCATGTTATCCTACTAAAAATACAAGAACAGGAATGCTGTGTGGATTGGTGGACTAGCCTCATTAGTAAGTATGCAGGCTGCAATCTCTATTCATGGAAAGACCTTCCATCTTGTGTCCCAACGGCGGACAGCCTTTTTATAGAAAAATGGCTATACAAAAAAAAAACATTTAGTTCACAGAACATAACATATTGATTTATATCTAATTATTTATGTTATGTGTGTAAATTAAGCCAGTATGTACAGGTCTATTAATCTAATTGCCAGGCTCTATAGAAAGCACACAAAGCTGCCCACGTTTACAGCATCCTGAGATTCCTATGCAAATCTTGACTTTCTAAAAAGTAAAAGACTAAAACTGGTGATAAACAAATAGGATTTTTTCCATTCAGCTGGTAAGCTGAACAGAAAAAAAAAAAAAAATCTAAAAGATTTCCTCACCTATGCTACACACTGCAGATGGACAAATCTCCCCATATGATTATTGTATTTTGACAGCCAGGCCCACCATCTGTCAAAATACCCAAACAGCAGCTGCATCTGATTTGTGCATCCACTGTTCAGCTAACAATTTTCTACTCGTTTCCTTTGATTTTTCAACTGAGAGATGTAGGGTGGGAGGTGACCGACAGGGCCACCCGCTGAGCAAATTTTTGGTGATTCATTACACACTGGCTAAAATCTGAACAAAGAATGTTCAGTGGAAGTCAGCTTTAGTCAGTGAAAAAATTGCTATGTTTGTGCTTCCTCCCTTCACTGTCCGTTATGGCATGCTGCTGAGAAAGAGTGGCATGCTGCTGAGAAGGTGTGCCATATAGAATTCCTTTTCTTTTAATAATACTTCCATATTTGTATGACTGTTGTGAGGCATGTATTCAGTGTATTTTTTTTACATAAAGGGTTGCTGCCTTCTCTAACTTGTACTGGGTTTATATTGTGTACTAAGCTTAGCCGCAAAACTGTCTTTAGCAGGATTCATCTTATAACCATGAAATAAAACAAAATTTCTTTACTTATTAAGTAAATGTGAAACAATTCATTACAGCCCAGAGGACAGTGGGAATATTCTTGCAGCAGCTGCAAAGAAATCAAATTTAGTTGTCACATGTGCCGCCTGCTCACGCCCTTCCCCCCCCTCGCCGCACACAGCTGGGAGCTCTCTGCACACCCCCGGCGGGCACAGGGCTTCCCGTGCTCAGCGCCCTGTCGGAGACAAACGCCGCGCTCCCTTCGCGTGGCTGGAGTGAGGGGGGCGTGCCTCGTTCCGGGGCAACCCGGAGGCGCCCCACGCGGCTTTTAAAAGGCCAGCGCGAGACCACGGTCTCTCCCCCTTCCTCCTGCGCTGTCCGGCCGCTCTCCCCTTGGCCCTGCCGCCGCCGCTGTCGTGGGAGGTCCGGGTGGGGGGACCGGGCCTCCGCAGCTATCCCCGGTGAGCGCTCTGCATGAGCCCCCCTCCTCAAAGGTCAGACCCCACAGCCATTTCTCCTGCTGCTGTTCCTAGCAAGCTGGCCAAGAGGGCCCCTGCCTGCTGATCGCTGGTCCCCTGAAGAAGCTGGCCGCTGTGAGGGTTCCTGCCTGCTGATCGCTGGGCCCCTGGAGAAGCTGGCCGCTGTGAGGGTCCCTGCCTGCTAATCGCTGCTGTCCCCTGAAATGCTGGCCGCTGTGAGGGCTGCCATCTGTTGCTGAGGGTCCCTGGGAAGCCGCCCTGTCTGCTGATTGCTGGTTCCCTGGAAGCTGCCTGCTGCTGAGCGTCCGTAAGTCATCTACCTCCCTGGAAGCCACCTGCTGCTGAGCGTCCGCAAGTCGCCTACCCTCCCCCTGGAAGCCGCCTGCTGCTGAGCATCTGTAAGACGCCTATCGTGAGTGTCCCTAGAAGCCATGAACTGCCCCTAGTGTGCACACAGACCACCCGTGTCATGAACTGTCCCTATTGTGCGCACAGACCACCCATGTCATGAACTGTCTCTATTGTGCGCACAGACCACCCGTGTCATGAACTGTCCCTATTGTGCGCACAGACCACCCGTGTCATGAACTGTCCTATTGTGCGCACAGACCACCAGTGCCATGAACTGTCCCTATTGTGCGCTCAGACCACCCGTGTCATGAACTGTCCCTATTGTGCGCTCAGACCACCCGTGTCATGAACTGTCCCTATTGTGCGCTCAGACCACCCTGTCATGAGCTGCCCCTATTGTGCGCTCAGACCACCCTTGTCATGAACTGCCCCTATTGTGCGCTCAGACCACCCTTGTCATGAGCTGCCCCTATTGCATGCCCAGACTACCCTTACTCGAACCGCCCCATGGCGTGCCTGGAGTATAGCTACCTGGGATACCCCTGAGTGCTTGAGCCATCACTACCTGCTGAGTCCCAGTGAGCCTGATGTCCCTAGAAAGCTGGGTGGGAGCTGTGCTAAGGTCAGCCCCCCTAGTCAAAGTCCTGTTGAGTCCCTGTGAGCCTGTTGTCCCTAGTACGCTGTGTTGAGGCCAGACTCCACAGCCAAAGTCCCGTTGGGTCCCCGTGAGACTGTTGTCCCTAGTACGCTGTGTGGGAGCTGTGTTGAGGCCAGACTCCACAGCCAAAGTACCGTTGAGCCCCCGTGAGCCTGATGTTGTCCCTAATAAGCTGTGTGGGAGCTGTACTGAGGTCAGACCCCATCACCAAGGTCCCGTTGAGTCCCCATGAGCCCGCTTACCGTGGGTGTCCCTACAAGCCGCATGTCGCGGAGTGCCATGAACTGTCCTGATTGAGTGTCTTTCATAGTACAATAAAGCTTTGTGTGTTCCCCATCTTCTTTGTGTGTTTCTGTCCTGCCTACGCTTCTGTCACATTAGCATTTTAGGTGTGTATCTGGGTTATTCCAGTAATTTGCAGCTCAGCTGGTTGATGTTCAGAGGCCTTTGGAGCTAAATACAGAATTGCAGCTATAGTAGCTAATCATGCTATCCAATGTTCCTGCTAACAGTCGCTTATACGCATATAAAAATCCCAGTCATGCTCAGGAGAAACAAAATGATAGAAGATTCACCTGAACTTGACTACAGAATGCAGACTAGGAGAAGGCGAATTCACTAAGCCCTTGTGTAAAGCAAGGCATTTAGCCCAGTTTACGAGACTCCAGCATTTATATAAAGGCAGAAGCACAGGGTCAAATCTCAAGCTCTGCTGCTGATGTAAAACTCTCTAAGAGGCTGAAAAGCTACTTCGCTTGGAAGGTGCATTAAGTGCTACAAACATTTAGGCAGTATGCACCCAGGGACACATGCCCAGAATGCAAGCAGTCAGTGTTCTGATGATTGGTCCCTGGGAACATACTGCCCTAGACATTAGAAGCACTCAGTTCACCATCCAGCAGCAGCAGCTTTTAGCCTCTCAAGGTTTTACAGTCTGCCGGCAGTAAGGCTGGACAGTGGGTCTGAGTCTTCCCTCTACACCTAAACAATGGGATCTCATCAAGGCCCAATGTCCAGTCAACTAAGCCTTTACTTAGTAATAATAATTTTTAAATAAATAATTTTTAAATAAATAATTTTTTGCATTCAGACTTGCAGTCCTTTTCACTCATTACCAGTGCCATCACAGATGAAATACACAGGCTCCTGCAGACGCTTTGCCAGCCCCAAGTACATATGGCGATACAGACTGTTATGGGCCTGGAAAAAGTAATCTATGGACTGCAAGTGCAGTGACATCAGCGCCTTGTGTTCCATTGAGATCTGTAGGTCTCTCTGTATCTGTATAATGTATCTGTGAATGGATGATGTGGCTGGGTCACTGTCTGTGTTGAAACAAACAGCTGTTCCAATACATGCACAGCATATATATTCCAAGACCATTCCCTATACTTTAATTTTTAGATGTGCTGACACAGGCGCAAGGGGTGTGAAAACGTTAGGCGCAGGTTAGTTCCTGCTAACCTTCTAGGTTTCAATAACACTGTTCAACAAATTTTTATTTTTTGCCAGTTTTGGAAACAAAAGGATCCATTTCTTAATGAATTTCACATAGTTCAAATATAACAATGAAATTTGTCAATTGGCTCTAGTTTTTCTGTAAACGGAAAGTTTTCTACTATAGGCGTAATGACTACATAATGCACAATAATTATGATAGATGTCTTTCCACAAATAGCAAGTGATTTGACTAATAACAAAGCCTAAATGGCATAATATATTGCATAGGATTACCAAGAAAAATTATAGCCATAAGCTAAGTTGAATCATTTTAATACAGGATTCTCACTAGTTTTGTCTTCAGTTTGTGTCGGTTTTGCTTCTCTTGGCTTTTCTCTTGTATTCGAGGAAAGGGCTATCTCTTACAACTGCACGTGACTACACGCTTCAGGTTCTTCCTCACTTGACTCAACACGAAGGATTCTGGTGCTTTAGGAATTGGTAGCCCCTCTCCATGAGGAACTGGACGTATTGCCGATGGAATATTTGGATAGTGCACAGATTTCTTCTTCTTATTTAGCTCTTTTACAATTGGAGGCACCATACAAAAGTAACAATTACTAACATGATCTGTTGGCTCTCTCCAAATCATTGGCACAGCGAAAGGCATAGATTTTTTTCCATTCAACCATTGCTCCAGTGCCGTCCCACAAGAATTGCAGCATATATGTGGTGCCCAGCTCTTGTCCTGGTCTCCTATCTTGCAGCCAAATTACAAGTTGTAGGCTTTCTTAATCATTCCTGTTATCCTCCTTTTTTGTGAGATAAAAGTTATTTCCCGCAGATATATGCAGAAATTATCTGCTTTATTCACACAAGTTCGAGGCATTACTGAGTAGCCTATATAAGCATAAAACGAAATGTAAAGACGCTGTCGAACTACAATCAGCTACAGATACTGCAGCTTTTATGCAGTGAAGTGATGCAATTAAAGGCTAATATTGCATCATCTCAGTATACATGCAATTTTCTATTGGTCACCAGTATCAATTGCACAATATGCAGCTGAAGTTGCACCATAATTTTGAATGGCTTACGTCATTAGATGGGTGAATATATCATGGAAACTAGAGCCAATCAACATTTTTTAGGGTCATTTTCATTTTCAGCACCCCAAAAATATGTAAGATTAGCTAATTTTATGCCCAAAACTTTTTACCTGTTGAACAGTGTAATAGATAACTCTATGGGAATTAGCCCATTATGGACAAATAGGTTTTAAAACCATGTTCCAGTAAGTGGTATTTTTTTCAGAAAAATTCCAAGGGGTGAATTATTTGTATTCCAATGATTCACCCAGGTTAGACACTTATTACTCTTACTGTATAATAATATATGTTATATAAATTTACGTTTAGTATATGAGTGTGTTCCAGCAACACAATTAAGAAGCAGTTAATAAACCTGGAAACCTTGGTGTAAATTTTGCTTGGCTATAAATATTCTTTTTCTGTAATACTTGGTATTAAAATGATTTGTACAGTTACAAAACAATAATGCACTTACCATACCATTGTGTAGAAAATAAATACACTCTGCTTGGGGGATAAAACAAGGCAAAAACGCAACCATGAAATGCTGGCATGCCATTATAAGAAGTGCACATGGGCTGTTAGCACAAGACAAAGGTGACACATGCTCCGAATGTTACGGTGTAGTAAAAATACAAAAAAGAAAAGAGTAAATTAAGCCTTCCTGCTTCTGCTCCTCTTTCCTTTACAGCTTTCTTTTCGTTGGCCTAAGACCATTCAGAAGACTGAACTCCACATTAAAAGAATTTAATTTAAGCAATAAAATTAGGGGACTGAAAAAATTAATAAAATAATATTTTTAAGCTGCAGGAAAATATTTGTGTCTGAAATATGAGCCGATTTCTACTAGAAAAAGACAGCCTGGTAGGCCTAACATATTTATGTCCGAAATTAGAGTGGTTTTCAGTTCTGTGCCCCACAAGCACTATTTGCGAATGTTAAAGGATTAGGAAATTCTGTATTAATAGAAATATGGAGGAGGCCACTGATGACATTACTATGAAAGTCCTCTTTGCCCCTGCTGTCTCTAACTTCAAAACCTTCTGTCAATCTGGAAAAAGAATACTAACCAGCAGAGAGAACCCTGAGATCATAATTTGCTTGTTCAAAGTCAGTGGTTCAAAACATTGGATCAGTGGATCAGTTTGACAACCAGGAAACTAGTATTTTCAAGAGATGATCAGCGATCACAGCCTCCATACTTCATAAGTATATGATTCCTTTCAAATAAAATGAAATAAAATAAATGTTCCTTTCTATTGCTTTTATTTGAAATCCCTGGTGCTCTCTATTAAAAACTGACCACATTAGGCACAAGAGCACAGCGTGGTCAGTGCTCTGGCTGTGCTGGAACTCAGCTTGCTCTCCTCCAAGATCAGACTTATCCTGACCCCCCCTCGGCTGCAGGGGAGAAGAACCCTCAACCGCTGTCACAGAGCAGGGGGTGAAGGTGCCCCGCTGGAACATGTTACACCCTAAATTCTTGTTTATCATGTTCCAAAGGTGAATCTATCCTTTAACACACAAAGGCATTACAACATTCTTTTAAAGTGTGGATGCTGCTACAGGCTTGTGCTGTTTTCTGTAGTATATTTCCATTACCTAAATCAGTTGCAAAGCAGAATACCCTTTAAAAGATAACTAAGAAAACTGTCATTCTCCCATGCCCAGCTGCTTACTAATGCCAGGAATGTAATGCATAGCCTATTCATCACAAGTAATGTGACCACCCCAGAACCTATATATGGCCAGGAACAATGGTTGCGTCCATCAAGATCTCTAGCACAATACTTTGCTTTAGGACAGACTCCCTTTATGTGCGCTGCAAAACATATTTTATTGGTAACAGTTTTACTTGTCTTTTTAGGTTATTCTGGAAGTCTTTATAGGCCATAGGAAAGGAAGCTCCTAGAAAAAGCAAGAGAAATGCAGGATATGTTGGGTCAGGTTTGTCTTGATAAGTAATGTGTTCAAAACCAGCTCTATAGGAGACTCCATGCATCTCACTGTTTCAGCTGCAATGAACAATTGAACAGATAAAGCACTTTGGTTAAGGCAAGTCTTTCTGGCATTTGGGCAGGGTGCTAGTGGAGAGGCGGTGCATGCACATCATCTAGTAGGCAGACATAAAAGGTCAGGAGGGATGAGTGAGAGGTGCACAGACTCACTCTGTCTGCGGTGCGGTGGACCGATCCGAGGACTCCCCTGGTATGGGCCCTGCCAGGGAGAGAAGGAGGGAGCAGAATACCCACTCTGTGCAGAAAAAAGAGGGAGATTTGGATAATAAAAGTAGGAAACGGGGAGGAAGAAAGCCACACAAAAGCCAAATTATTATGTTTCAGCTAAGAGAGGCATTCCCTTAGTGCAACATTTCCTGCAAAGTCCTCCAACAAAACATATTTGTACAAACTAATCATTTGGAAATACAAGAACTGCTAAATGTAACAACAAATGCTGTGTAATACCTTTACCACTCAAATAATAGCACATAAAATACCAGACACTCTACATAGAAATTGAAAAAATACAAGAATCAGAATAAAAAGATCATGATCAGGTCAAGCCATGGTGACAACAATGGAGACAACCACAGTATGCAAGATTGACATCTGGAATGTAGGAATTATACATGACAGAGGATACATGGCAATGTTAGTGCAAGGATGAATAACTTCTCATTACACACACTCTATTTAAAAAGCAATGGCACATTGCAATGTAAAGCCTATTAAAGGGAAAGTATAGGGTATACAGCTTAGTTCAATAGGTGCAATATGCAATCCGTAATCCATAGCAACCAATCAAAATTCACTTCCCTAAAGCCACACTAACATACCATGGACCCAGATTGGTTACTATGCAACTTTGCAACATTTTACTAAACTTTTTGATACGGCTTTCAGATATCAGGTGTCAGATATTCCATGTCTCCATGACGGAGTTTCATAGAGAGATCTGTAAAGCCTCCCTCTAAAGGTTTTCTGTAAATCAGGAAGTGCATTGGCCATTCCTTAACTACTGAGATAAAGACGGTGAAGCCATTTGGCTTATCCTTTTAAGCAACCAGTTGGAGTATACTGATATATGTGTATTATAGAAAATGTAAAAAGATAATTACAACCACTGTGCAGCATTAATAAATAGGAAACATGGCTTGAAGGTGTAATGTATATATGGCTACCATGTACATACACGATTCCAAACTATACCATGGAGCATCTATTTGCTGCAATAACACATGTAGTAAGCTTATCATATTCACATGAATGTGCAAGACTATAGATTCCCTTTAATATGAAAATAAAATGCCGATTTCAAAAATTCAGCAAATGAAAAATGCATAGAGATGTACAGTCAATCACAGAATTCATTCTATGAGCTTATCAGTGTTAACAAACTAGCCATGTTTTAGGAGCAGAGTTAACAAATAAGAACTTCAGTTTGCAAGTCATTCTGCAGTTAAATGCACATCCAAATCAAAGGCTGGCTTGAGAACTAGTATATTAATATCAACCTAACTTTATGTGCTTGTGGGTGCCTTTCTCTGGAGCTCTGTCTTGACAAGGTTACCTAAACTTCAAGGAAAAGTTGAAAGGGTCCATTTGTGTCACTAAGTGTCAGAGAGAGTTTTTGGGCCATGTATATAGGGCTGTTCATGATTAGTGAAGGTCTTACAGTGCATCCAGAAAGTATTCACAGCGCTGATCCCAACTAGTCTCCCAGTTCCTGCTGCTGAAAAACATCCCCACAGCATGATGCTGCCACCACCATGCTTCACTGTAGGGATGGTATTGGCCAAGTGGTGAGCGGTGCCTGAGCGGTGCCTGGTTTCTGCTGCCAGACATGACGCTTGACATGCAGGCCAAAGAGTTCAATCTTTGTTTCATCAGACCAGAGAGTTTTGTTTCTCATGGTCCAAGAGTCCCTCGGGTGCTTTTTGGCAAACTCCAAGCAGGATGCCATTTGCCTTTTACTGAGGCGTGGCTTCCGTCTGGCCACTCTACCATACAGGCCTAACAGGTGGAGCACTGCAGAGATGGTTGTTCTTCTGGAAGGTTCTCCTCTCTCAACAAAGAAATGCTGGAGCTCTTTCAGTGTGACCATCGGGTGCTTGGTTACCTCCTTGGCTAAGGCCCTTCTCCCTCGATCACTCATTTTGGCTGGGTGGCCCGCTCTAGGAAAATTCCTGGTGGTTCCAAACTTCTTCCATTTACGGATGATGGAGGCCACTGTACTCATTGGGACATTCAATGCTGCTGAATGTACCCTGATCTGTGCCTTGATACAATCCTGTCTCAGAGGTCTATTGGTCATGTGCTGTGCTGACATGCACTGTTAACTGTGAGACATTATATAGATAGGTTTATGCCTTTCCTAATGTCCAATCAATTGAATTTCCCACAGGTGGACTCCAATCAAGTTGTGGAAACATATCAAGGATGATCAGTGGGGACAGGATGCACGAGAGCTCAATTTTGAGTGTCATGGCAAAGGCTGTGAATACTTATGTACATGTGTTTTTATTCCTTTTTATTTTTAATAAATTGCAAAGATTTCAAAACAAACTTTTCACATTGTCATTATGGGGTATTGTCTGTAGAATGTTGAGGGAAAAAAATGCATTTAATCCATTTTGAAATAAGGCTGTAACATAATACGTGGCAAAAGTTAAGAGCTGCGAATACGTTCTGGATGCACTGTATTTCCAGCATGTGCAGAGCTAGGCACAATGCTAAGGCAACAAGAACATGCAAACATGACTGAAGGCCACTTTATATATGAATACCCAAATCAAATTAAACATATTGTACTGGTCACAATGGATACTGTAATGGCCTGGGCATGCTATCTGTGAACTTTAGTAACTAAACTCGCAACAATCTTTTAAAAACACAAAAATCATCATCATGACTACGATACAAAAAATTCAGCTGCTGGTAGATGTCAGTGTCTTGAATTACTCTAGTACCACAATTGTTATGAGCGCTCTCATTGAACCCTTTGAATTCAATAAGTCAGTGAGAGTGTGTGCATGTATATTAGAGGAATATTTATTTTTGAAATGATTATTATTATTTCAGATGAGTGGATGGTGATCTAAAATTTATTTTACTTTCTAATTTAACCCAGTAGCACCCATCAAGCAATTCCATGGCTGTGATCCCTCTAGTGAATCAATCCCACAAATCTAGCATGCAGCTCAGAATGCAACCACCAGTGATTAATTTAAGCAGGGCATAGACTGCTTGAAATTTTTTTCAACAAAGGCTTAATATCGAATAAGACAGGTGAAAAACTATCAGAACAGCCACTGCATGCTATCAGATGGCGTCACTATTTGGTACCACAATAGTATTCAGGCAGCACCTGCTGCATGAATATAATTGAGTTTCCTCCATTGCCTCTGTTAGCTTGGACGGGGAAATCAAGTGATTTTGTCTCTGTCCCTAAACAGTGGAAATGCAAGTCATCTATGCCCAGCATTAGAACAATGCTTAGCTCTAACTCTCCTCAGACCAACCAGAACAACAAAGACGATTTCTGATTAGTTGCTATGTATTACTGCACTTTGCATGATCGCCTTTGCAGTACCAAAAATGAATAAACCTGCAAAGTTCTAAATTTTCATATACAACCCATGATAAAATTTAGAACACTACAGCAATCAGGGCAAAGAAATGGAACTTTACACACTCAGTTGCTCACTTGTCTCACTGCCTAACCGTAACCAAACTGAACTTCTTTTCTTCATGTGCACTTGTTGTAGGCTGTACAGGTAGCAAATGAACCTATGATTGCAAACCTCAGACATGAAATGTGAACAAAGCATATCCCTCTATGGTGTGTACTTGTCTCAATTAAGTGTAATTTTTGTCTGCCGCTTCATTCCTCAGTTATCAGCTTAAATCACTTCTGACAAGTTTTCCTAGCACCAAGAGAAAAATGGTGACAGGGGAGGGACCTCCAGCAGATAGACAGCCTCAGCTCTGTTTCTATGAGGTGTGTGCGTGTGGGGGTCTCTTCCCTCCAATCAGCTTTCAGAACCCTCCTCACTGTGCTCTGCAGTGTCAGCTCTCTGTCCCCTTTTTTCTGAATTCTCAGACAAGCTGTATAAATTCTGTAATTTGAATGGATGTAGAGAAGAACAGGTACAACTTATGTAGGAGGATTGGTTTCATTTCTGTGTATCACCTGAGGCCAGTCACCTCACTGGGTATATGTAGGGGTTTACAACCACTTTAAAATTGACTGATTGGTCCACAATGATAGAAGCAGCCATATTCAGTTACCTACATGTATGCTTACTTTAAAATGAACCTGGACTCCCCACACCTGGGACAATAATGCAAATCATCCCCAAAACATTATTGTGGTGATTTCACTGTGCCCTACTATCTCCCACCTAATTGGCTTTAAAGTGTGATGGGCGCTTAGAAAATAAGCATGTAAATAGGCACATGACGATGTCTTTATTACTAACCTGTAGCCTAGCCAGTTAAATATGTTTGTTAAGCACACAGATTTGCTTTTAATGAGAAGTTTCACTATGTTGCCAAAAAAATCAGCCAGCAAAAGATGAAAATGTATGAGCCGCAGTGATCTACTACTGTCTATGCATGTTATGTGGAAATAGAGAATGACTGGTTAATGAATATGGTCTGCAAAAAAACAAAAATTGTATAACACATGGTAAAAGTTATAAATTTACTGGCAAGAAATTAGCAGGGACTCTACAGTTGCAGCATGTTAAACACTGCTTGGTTTAATACTGTTAGAGGAATCCATAAAAAGGTGTTCTGATGTTAAAACAAAAACCTAATTTCAACCTTAATCTTAAAAAGGAATGTATAACATTTTCAATTAGTTAAAATTTTAGTTTTAGTGTTTAGTTTCAGGAAATTTCTCTGATTCATATTTTAACAAGCTTTCACTTTTATGCTGTTATTTTAAACATAAAGATTGGTTGACTAGCCACTCAAATAAATTTACAGTGGCTTAGTGTAACTTTTATTCTTTAACATAAGACCCACAGACTTATGCTGGCATTACTAAGATTTCACTCGTTCAGCCATGCAAACGGATTCATCCATCCATGCTAAACAAAATCTCTTCTGCCAGCTATTATTTTCTGCTATTTTCCCAGCATCTTCAATTTCTAGATTGAAGGACATCAGACGGGAGTATGCCAACAGGCCCATCCACAGATCGAATTCTGATGAAACCACTCTAAATGTGCTATTTGTTTACCTAGCTTTACAGTGCATTATTGAAAGGAGCAGTAAAGTACAGTCATGCATAGCAATGCAGGAAGAAGAACTTGTAAATTGAAAATATGACCCTTGTCTATATGTAAACCTGTATTTCAAAATCAAATTACAAAGACTATATGTTCTTTTTATCCTCTTGCCAACTGTGCAATGCATTTATGTGGCAGCAGAGGAGAATTCTTTAACACCCAGTGGCCATACATATGTGTTCATGGGGCTCTGAGGTTCTATTCTACCAGCACACTGACTAAGCTGTCACCAACAATGTCCAGTAACTGTTTGCTATTGGGAGTCAACAAAGCTGCCAATAGTGTGCCTCCTGTGGCAGCAGTTCATGAAGAGTGGGAAGGCAGCTCTACTTTACAGCTTTAACACCCACTTACAGGGCCACTGGGGGGGTAGAGGCAAGGGGTTAATATAGACACAGTTTCAATTGCTTTTGTGTAATAAGATGGCGAGTCTCATACATTCCTCCAACAGATAAGAGCAGAATTAAAGTGTTACTAAACCCCGGACCCTACATTCACAATATCTGGTCTCCCACAGTAAACAGAATATGGAAGTGCGATTCTTTTAGTAAATATAAACTGCTAAATACCATTTCTCATCAGAGTTAGAGTTTTCTTTCTGCTCTAGGAGGATGGAAATCCCCTGACCTCTGTCTGGACAGTGCTGATTGGCCCTTTGCTAAATCACATGCACTCTCCCAAGGAAAAAAAAAAAAACAAAACCTCTAGCAATACACACCAAACTCAGCATGTGCATACCTACAGTTCAGTCTGGGGATAAGAGGTGGTCACTTGAAAAAGGGGAGGGACAGAGAAGAAAGGATCAAACAGCTTTTTGCACAATGCAGAGGATTAACCCCTTAGGTTCTACAGTGAGTATAACAAACATGCTTTACTGAATATACAGACTGATTTTATGGTTGTGGATTTAGTAACACTTTAATATCAACTATTAACTACATAGTAGAATGTCTTATGTCTAGCAATGTATGAGAAGGATTCCATGTTGTTAGACAAAATAGACTTCTTTTAGAAAAACATTAGGGGAAAACAAATGTAATCCCCTTCATTAATGGTCTTTTCAATTTTTGTTTTTTTATAAATTCATACCGACACAAGGGTGTCTATTGGAGAAATTTCTTGGAGGGTACTCTCATATCCATTGTCTAAGACAGCTGATACGCAACTGATACGTATTGGCTATAAAGTGAATTCTGTTCTCAAGAGGGTCCATTTCATTAAGAAACAATATTTATAAATACAAATCTGTGTTTTTTTTTAAACATAGCATTGGTAGGATTATAACCTTTAGAGTGACTTGGTATAGTACTATATTTCCAAGCACTTCACCCTCTCTCACACACTACTCACTGAACTCCTTCTCCAGCTGGTCTGAGTAAACTTGTCATGCTGCTTTGACTTCTCCTCCTTGGGCTCTTGACTTTCTTTCTGGCATTTACATTTTGTTTTCTACAAAAATGACACAGGATGCCAAAAAGAAAATATGTCAAACAAATGAATACAAATATTTAGTGCATTTAGACATACACTATAGAGGCATTCTAAAATACTTCAACAATGACGATGAGTGTTCATAGTCCAAAAATGAAGCAGGCGACTCAAGGAAATGCAAATGAAGATGCTTCGATAGTGTATAGTGCCGTCAGACTGCTAGTTATACAGTAAGGCATGCATGTATCAATCAAAGCTGAACATAAATAGTAGGGAGGGTAAAACCATTCACATATATACATTTCCACAATAAAGTACCATGGTGCACAACATTACAGAAAAAAGGAAGTCTATGGGCTACTTAAGTCTTTAAAGCGGTTGCACATGATGGAACAGGTACCTGTCAAAACTAGGTACCTGCTCTCCCCCCAACATATTGCATGCCAAATTAGATGTGTGTGTGCGCGTGTGTGTATATACAGAACTTCCACTTTAGGGTGAAGCTCCGCTTTAAGCATTTCATACCCTGAGGCTACTTTTAAATGTGTGCTGTGCAAGCAATTCTGCCTTACAAATCCACTGCAAGACTGGGCTGCACTGAGCCTTAGGCAGCTAGTTTTTTTGTATTCAGCCTGCTGGTTGAACAAAATAGACTAGTTTCCTCCATCCACAAACTTGATGTGGATGGGGGAATCCTCTTCACTGAGCTGTTGTATTCGGACAGCAGAGAGATTTTTCCACAAGCAGCGAAAAGCTGACATAATGGTTGTACAGAAGTCAATCAGTTGACTGGCTTCTGTACAACCAGCTTGCCCATACAGGGACAGAAACTCAGCTGATCCCTGCTGAACCAACCAAATTTCAGTCCATGTATGGCTGTTTTAGTTAAGCGCTGTGTACACAAGTATGATAGACAGACACATCAACGCTGCACGGCAGCACTATTGGGAGGCATTCATACTTGTGTACAGAGCGGTTAACGATTACATGCAGGAGACCCAGCAAAAGTTCTGAGATTTTAGCTGTGGGTGAAAACCCCATCAAAAGCAACTGGACACTGACAGCTCCCGCAGCTAGTCATGGCAATCTCACATGTAATTGCTCACTGAGCCAATCATTGCCAGTAATCCCCCTAAAGTGCCATAATTTATTTAGGAAAGCAGAGGGATTCTAGACACTCAGCCTTTAAAGGGACCTTTTTTTTTTTATTAAAATATCACATTTTGAGATTACTCACAGCATTAAAATTAAGTGGACCAGTCAATGACAACTGATAAACACAAATAATTTTACATTTTCACATTTTTATTTCACAAAGTGCTGTGCTTAAAAAAAAAAAAAAAAGAAATGGCAACTTTGAATCTAAAGTATATCTGAATATACTCTGCAATGCTGGATAGAACTGAGGAGGGATAATTATGGTTTTTTTTTTGTTATGTGTGTCTCGTTGGGGAGATTTCCCTTTACTTTCTATCCTGTAGACTCATCTAGGAGTGAGGATTTCTTTCCAAGTCTGATGAAAATCCCATTTTAAGCTGGCCGATTACTAGTAGAATTTTGTTAACATTTATCTGGATTTGCTAATGGTTACCACGGTCCAAACGACAATCGTTTTTGACCGTAGTGATGAGAAAAGGAGAAGGATGGAAATTTTCCCCCAATACATTCCTAACAGTGTAGTGGTTTCCATTTGGAAAACGTCATTCATACTACGATCGAATATTGAAAGAAAGAAAAATGTTTACTTTCGATCAGCATTATTGATTGTACTTCCAAGATTTTTTCGCATGAATATTTGTTTAAATAAAAATCTAACAATATATGGACCGCTTTAGACAGTTTACACAAAAACAGGTCTGCCCATTGTTAGATTTCTAAGTGCAGTATCACCACACAGGCCTTCAGAAGGAGTAGTAAGCTCCGTGTGCAAAGCATTGCCCTCTTCCTCGTACTTCGCCCCTCCCTTCCTGTGACAGGCCATGAAGAAACTTCCGGTTTCGGCTGCAGCGTTCTGGGATCCCTCTTCCATCTACGGTGACATCTATGGTCGGGTGACTCCCAGAGACTGCGGTCACATACCTAGGCTCCCCTCTGCCACAGACTTGATGGGCGTTTTTATCATTCTTATTCTGTGTTTTTAACTGCTGCAAATACATTTTTATGGTGATACTGCACTTAGGAGGCACCTCTCTCCTATCCCTTTCTTTTCCCTGCCTTTATACAGTTGGCTCACTCTGGGATTGCTGCCATTGGTGCGTCTCCACATGCTTTGGACTTTTAAACAGACTATGGACCTTTATATGTCCTGGCTGAACAACAGGGCCATAAGCTTTTAGTGCACAGATTGTATCTATGTATATTCCATTGGAAGATTTCCACTCTTTCTGTTCTGGTGGCAACTCAAAATGTTGAATTTACTCTCACTTTCATGACACTAGTGATCAAAACAATCAGAGAAAGTGAATCTTCCTAAAGGGGACACAGACAGGATTAAAAACCTGACAGGGGTTCCAACCCATCACCACTCTACGCAAATTACATGAGCCGAATAAAATGCATGCAAATTACTGATTTAATCACTTGTTGTCAAAAAGCTTATATAGCAGGCAGCATGAGATTAAAGCTAAATGTATGACAAACAAATACACAAAAATACATAATAGGATCTGTTATACTGCCAAAGGATTTGTATTTTTGTACGCTCATTCCCGATACTGATAAAGCCAACCCAGACAGCAGAGCCAAACTGGAGTCCTGTAGATGGATCGAAAATTGGTTGGTTCAGTAAGGACCAGCTGATTTTCAATCCATCGATGTCTGTTCCCGCTTGAGAGAAAATCAATCTAATGATTGGCTTCTCTTTATTAGCCATGTTGGAAAATGTATCTTCGATCAGTGCTGCAGCGCATATCACTGTATTCTAACAGTGGAAGAGTCCCCACTGTCAGAATATAATAGCACAGCCGGAAGGATTTCTCTATCCACCTCAAATGTTTGGATGGGAGAAACTATTTTTTTTTGCTTTTTTTTTTTTCCATTGGCAAAAAACAAAAAAACAAAAACATCTATCTACTGCCAGTATTGGCCAGCTTTACTCTTCACTACTGCAGTTAAGTGATACAGCTAGGTCTTCATCGTGCCCTCATCATGTAACAGGAGAGTGAAAGGAAAGCTGCAGACTAATGAACTTGTTTCATGGTCACTCTATTTTCCGCAATCAACATGTTCCTTTTTAGCACTTGGTCACTGCAGCACAAATGATTTTCAACAGACACATACCTATAGGATTGGTTAGTTTTCAATCTGCCTGAAGTTCAGCCTTGAAACAGATCACACAATTAAGCAGGAGCAACCAAAGCAAAGATAAGAGTAACACACAATTTAACCATAAATGACTTAAACATGACATGGCTGCTCACCAGTTGTTCCTGTAATTGTTTTATCATCTCATCCTTTTTTCTAGATTCTTCTTTTAGTTGCTGGATCTCAGTCAGCAGGTCTTCAGTCTGTACAGACAAAGAAACAATAAGAATAGATTCTTTAAAATAATACACATTTTCCATACATACATACATACTGAACATGTTCATAGCGCAAACACATTTGATTGCTTTATGTGGCATCAACTAGATATAATGAAACATGATAAAAAATATTATAACCTTGTCCAATAAAAATAAACAAAAATCTCATTACAAAATTGTACTTGGTGGTAAGATTATGTGCACTCCCTTCAATCATATACACAAACTCTTATATTTTATTATAAAATTATGCATATTTGCAAAACTGTATAAATAAGAAAGTTGACCATAATAAGTATACTATCTGATATATGGTAGCTTGTGTAATAGCAATGGTTTTACGTACGACTCATGAAATACTGTTTCCCATGGCCATATGTGTACCATTTGCATTTTGCATAAAACTAGCACGGATACAGAGAACCTTGCTTTTTTTAGTTAAACGTCTTGAAAGATCACATAAAAGTGAAAATCCTTTACAAAGGAAATGCTTGGTATGGTTATTAATATGCCATGTCCTGAGTAGTATTAAAAAGGCACTGCCACCAACAACTGCAGGTTAAAGCATGATAAATTAAAAGAGGAGTATCACCAAAACTTTTTCTAGTTAGACTTCGCTACTAGCACACCGGAGTAAATTTATAAATGTTCTCCTATGACCAAGAGCAAGCTGACAGCAAGCCACTGCCCTTGAATTAATTCCCTGTAGTTGAATTAATTCCTGGTTGTTCCAAAAATACAGGGGGAGGGTCCCGTCCCGAGGTCCTTCCCTTCCTACCCCTCATTCATTTCTTTACCCCTTATTTATTTTCTTGTTTGGGGAATGGGGTTGGGGCAAAACATGGTCAGTACCATGTGCAACCCCTAGTATAAGAGTGAAATATTAGCAACAGGACACTTGAAAATAGACAGAACAAAAACTTGATTCTTAATGGTGGTAGGGGCGAAATGTTTTTCTACCCCAAACTGAAGGAAAGAAAGAACAGGGCAACAGAAGGGTATATGAGGAAACCCTCAAAGCCTTATATCAGTGAAAAGAGGTCTTTCACTTGAGATAAATCTAGTGAATCGGAATAACTGAATCCCCAATGCCCCTGCCTCTCAGAACCTCAGGGACTATGAGGAGCTATGAGAATGGCAGAAATGTAAGCCATGCAATTGTCTTCACCCCCCAGAGAGCATACTCAAAGAAGTCTTCAGGGTATAGGCTTTCACCGGTAGGTATATCACAGCCCTGGACTTGTAAAGTGCTCTGTTGCTAACACAGGTCACCAGGTGCCTAGATAACGCCACAAGGAGAGCCCAGTGCTATAGGGTCACATTACAGACTGCCCCTGCAACTTCCAAAAAAGCAGTCTGTAATGAAGGGTAGTTTTAACAAAGCCTTCTTACACCAATAATCCACCAGCACTTAAAGTGTTACTAAACCCATGACCTTGCATTCACGATATCCAGTCTTCCACAGTACACAGAAACTGAGAATGCAATTATTTTAGTAAATATAAACTGCTAAATACCTTTTCTTGTCAGCAGTATATAGCAGTCTTGTGGCTTCTATCAGTGTCCAGCCGAGCACTGGTTAATCTTGTAGAAGGAGTTTTCATTCTCCTCTGACTGTCCTATGAGGCTGCTTAATACCGGACCTTCTGTCTGGACAGTGCTAATTGGCCCTGTGCTGATGACATGCACCCTCTCTAGCAATACACACCAAAGAGAGCATGTGTAGACTTGCCACTGCTGCACTAACTATGACAGATGGATTTGGGACAGCAAAAAAAGGGAAGGATAAGAGAAGACAAGATTAAACCACCTTTTTACACAATGCAGAGGACTAACCCCCCTTATATACACTGCTCAAAAAAATTAAAGGAACACTTTGAAAACACATCAGATCTCAATGGGGAAAAATATCATGCTGGATATCTATACGGATATGGACTGGGTAATGTCTTAGGAAAGTAAGGATGCCCCATTGTTTCATGGAAAAGAAAATTATCAGCCTAGAGGACTCAATTCAAAGACACCCTGAAAGTCAAAGTGAAAAAATGATGCAGCAGGCTAGTCCATTTTGCTGAAATTTCATTTCAGCAATTCAAAATGGTACTTAGTAGCTGGTAAGGCCCTCACATACTTGTATGAATGCCTGACAACGTCGGGGCATGCTCCTGATGCGACGACAGATAGTGTCATGGGATATTTCTGCACAAATCTGGATCAGGGCATCACTGAGCTCCTGGACAGTCTGATGTGCAACCTGGTGGCGTCAGATGGACCGAAACATGATATCCCAGAGGTGTTCTATTGGATCTAGGCCAGGCGAGCGTGGGGGCCATTCAATGGTATCAATTCCTTCAACCTCCAGGAACTGTGTGCATACTCTCGCCACGAGTCTGGGCATGGTTGTGCACCAGGAGGAACCCAGAACCCACTGCACCAGCGTAGGGTCTGACAATGGGTCCAAGGATTTCATCCCAATACCTCATGGCAGTCAGGGTGCCATTGTCTAGCCTGTAGGGGTCTATGCGTCACTTCATGGCTATGCCTCCCCAGACCATCACTGATGCATAATCAAAACGGTCATGCTGAACGATGTTACAGGCAGCATAATGTTTCCACAGCTTCTCCAGACTCTTTCACATCTGTCACATGTGCTCAGGGTGAACCTGCTCTCATCTGTGAAAAGCACTGGGCGCCCGTGGAGGACCTGCCAATTCTAGTGTTCAATGGCAAATGCCAATCGAGATCTATGGTGTCGGGAAGTGAGCACAGGGCTCACTAGAGGATGTCAGGCCCTCAGGCCACCCTCATGAAGTCTGTTCATGATTGTTTGGTCAGAGACATTCACACCAGGTCATTTTGTAGGGCTCTGGCAGTGCTCATCTGGTTCCTCCTTGCATAGAGGAGCAGATAAAGCTCCTGCTGATGGGTTAATGACCTTCTATGGCCCTGCCCAGCTCTCTTGGAGTAACTGCCTGTCTCCTGGAATCTCGTCCATGCTCTTGAGACTGTGCTGGGAGACATAGCAAACGTTCTGGCAATGGGACGTATTGATGTGCCATCATGGAGGAGTTGGACTGCCTGTGCAACCTCTGTAGGGTCCAGGTATTGCCTCATGTTACCAGTAGTGACACTGACCCTAGCCAAATGCAAAAACTAGTGTAAAACAGTCAGAAAAGAGGAGTAGGGAAAAAATTGTCAGTGTCCTCCACCTGTAAAACAGTTCCTGTTTTGGGGGTCGTCTCATTGTTGCACATATAGTGCACCTGTTAATTTCATTAACACCAAAGCAGCTGAAACTGATTAAATAACCCCCTCTGCTACTTAACTGAACAGATAAATATCCTATGCGTTTAACTGATTTGAAGCTATACTCTGATTAAAAAGTATTCCTTTAATTTTTTGGACCAGTGTACATCATGCATATAAAAAATAAATTAGTTTGCAATGGCCCATCCCATAGAAAATCAAGCTTATATTATTTGGCGGGGTAAAATGTTTACAAGCTACACCCCTCCTCCCCAAACTTGCTTTCATCAAATATCCCCCACTCATGGTTAATCCATATCTTGGGAGGCAATACGCTTTTGATATTTATGCAGGGGTATATATACAATTATGTACCTGTTAAACAGCATATGAGAATAGACATGTATAAATAATATACCTATAATTTATATATACAGTGAAGGAAATAAGTAAGGTATATTGTAACACAGAGACAGAATAGCAACAAAAAATTCAAAAGAAATCCATGTCTAACAAATTATACACTGATTTGCATGTTCATGAGGGAAATAAGTATTTGATCCCCTATCATTCAGCAGGATTTCTGGCTACCAGGTGTCTTTCATACAGGTAACAAGCTGAGATTAGAAGCAGTCTCTTAAAGGAAGTGCTGCTAATCTCATTTTGTTACCTGTATAAAAGACACCTGTCCACAGGAGCAATCAAACAATCAGATTCCAAACTCTTCACCATTGCAAAGACCAAAGAGCTATCCAAGGATGTCAGGGACAAGATTGTAGACCTACACAAGGCTGGACTGGGCTACAAAACTATCGCCAAGCAGCTTGGTGAGAAGGTGACAACAGTTGGTGCAATCATTCGCAAATGGAAGAAACACAAAACAAATGTCAGTCTCCCTAGGTCTAGTGCACCATGCAAGATCTCACCTCGTGGAGTGTCAATGTTCATGAGAACAGTGAGGAATCATCCCAGAACTACACGTGAGGATCTTGCCAATGTTCTCCAGGCAGCTGGGACCACAGTCACCAAGAAAAAAATTGGTAACACTACGCCGACAAAGATTGAAATCCTGCAGTGCCCGCAAGGTCCCTCTGCTCAAGAAAGTACATGTCCAGGCCGTCTGAAGTTTGCCACTGAACATGTGAATGATGTGGAGGAGGACTGGTTGAAAGTGTTGTGGTCAGATGAGACCAAAATCAAGCTCGTTGTCATCAACTCATGGGGAACAAATACTTATTTCCCTCATGAACATGCAAATTAGTGCATAATTTGCTAGACATGCATTTCTTTTGAATTTATTGTTGCTATTCTGTCTCTCAGTGTTACAATACACCTACCATTCAATTTTTAGACTGATCATTTCTTTCTGAGTGGGCAAACATTCAAAAAATCAGCAGGAGATCAAATACTTATTTCCTTCACTGTACCTTTAAAAGAAAAGAGGTCATGGATCCCAAAAGGCATAAACAGGTGGTCTCTCTGTGTGGTTTTCCTCTGCAGGGCATAGTTGTTGTTAGCCCATCTCCACCATTTTGCTAGAACAGCCAGTAAGCACAGTATGGTTGAACTGGCTTTAAATTCATGACTTGGTGCTAAAACACAGCATTTGTGGCTTTAAAAGATGTGGTACCAGTAAAACCATACAGACAGAGTCTGCTTCGGCAGCCTCCTTCCCAATATCTTTTTTTTTTTTTTTTTTTTAACCGTTGCTTCAGAATCCACAGTAGACTATGGCAGTGAGTGTTCTACACCTTTATGTTCTGGGAGCAAGTTGCACTGAGTAATAAAACTTTTCATAACAGAAAAAAAAAAATCCTCCAGACCTTTTTTTTTTTTACATAGGGTAGGCAGGATAGGAAGCAGGAGGGGAGGGAACACTTTCAAAAATAGTTATGGTTAGGCAGGAATTCAACTTTAAAAGATAAGTTCACCTTCACAAATAAATAATGTTAGTTTTTTTTGCAGGTAAAAAAAATATGCTTTTTTTTTTGCCACGGTACTGCTCGGTCTGCCACGGTACTGCAGACTGACTGTGTCGCTGTCTGCCGTACCTCCAATGTGGACAGTCAGTTACACTCTGACAAGAAGCTCAATGAACTACCTAGAGTGCGGCGCCCTAATAGTTTATTGAAAACTACAAAGTCAAAAAAGGCTATTGGTACTTGTAGTTTTCACAATCATGGAACAATGTGAATGAATGACACGAAAGAGTGGGCAGAGCCCCGCACAGTCGCATTTTTTTTTAGCGAACAGAGGATCAGGGGGGAAGGAAGGGTGTTGGGGTGCGGAGACTGGTGTATCTGTAACATGTCACATGTTACACCCTGAATATGGGTGTAACCTCTAACATATTACAAAAGGTCAACATCCCTTTAATACAATATCCCTATAAAATCATTTAATGTACCTTCATTTGTACTAAATAAAAATCAGATCAGGTTCTATAAACAGTCTGCTATTATCTACAATACATGGGAAGCAAGTATTCACTGGAAATTATAATCATAATTGTAACAATCTACCTTTAAATGTGTCTCTACCTCCTTTTGCTCAGTCATAGTTGGGATGCATAGCTGTAAGTCTTGCACTGGTGACTCTGGGTCATCCTCCTATTAAAGAAAAACAAAAAACAAATTATCCTTTGTTTAATGGTTAAATAGCACATAAAACTGAACATTCTACATATTAAAGTTTGATTATATGATACAGAATAGACATCACATGTCAGAACTAAGGTTGTTAGCACAGCGTTTAAAGCCAACTTCCAGGCAGACATATACATACACAGCTTCACCTGCCAAAAGACATGTAAATGTATCAGCCAGAGAATATATCAAGACAATGAACTCAAAGTTATCCACCAGTTAAATCATTCCTGTCACTTATCAAAATGTTCTCAGATGAATACAGCAATTTATCCACTGATATGATGGCAACTTTACTGGCCAATAGAGAGTATAGGGAGGATATGGATAAGCCCTATACACTGCAGGGTAATAATGTCTCCTGGTCATGTTTTCTTCTCTATGTAGTTTTTTGAAGATATGCGTATAGCTCCATAACACCGGGGGGTTTATTTACTAAAGCTGGAGAGTCCAAAATCAGACTCCCTTCTGCATAGAAACCAATCAGCTTCTAACCTCAGCTTGTTCAATGAAGCTTTGGCAATGAAACCTGGAAGCTGATTGGTTTCTATGCAGAAGGGAGTCTGATTTTGGACTCTCCAGCTTTAGTAAATAAACCCCAGCATGTCAACACTATGGAATAATAGTTAAGGCGACTGTAGCTGTACTATAGCAGTACTGCTTGGATCTTAGAAAAAGGGGTAGCTTGTAATCAAAATGTAACTGTTTATGCAAACTGGAAAAAAAAAAAGTACCACGCACTACCAAGCTGTGTTCCATGGAATCAAGGGATTGCAGGTGTTATTTCCCCCGCAGAAACAAGCACCACCTAATTAGATTGTCCGGTTGCAGTAAACTATAAATATGAAGCAATTAATCAAACAGGGTTTTTGTTTAGAAGTATTTTTATTGTGCATGTGAAACTAGTGCAATGGGAGTTGCAATGCAGTGGCTGGTGTGTGGTACAGTGGGGCTGAGATCACCGCTTCCTTTTTTTTATATACAGTTGTGTTCAAAATAATAGCAGTGTGTTGAAAAAAAGTGAATAAAGCTCAAAATCCTTCTAATAGCTTTTATTTCCATACACACAAATGCATTGGGAACACTACACATTCTATTCCAAATCAAAACATGAAGAAAAATATATCAAATTTGTGTTGTTCCTCTAAAAAAAGTGAAGAAAAGTGAATATTAGACTGTTCAAAAAAAAATAGCAGTGTTTGTATTCTTCTTTACAAACTCAAACATTCACTATATAAACTGAAAAATGTTTGACGATTTTGCTTTCCTTTGAATCACTTAATTAATATTTAGTTGTATAAGCACTGTTTCTGAGAACTGCTGTACATCTGTGTTGCATGGAGTCAACCAACTTCTGGCACCTGTGAACAGGTATTCAGCCCAGGATGATTGGACTACATTCCACAGTTCTTCTCCATTTCATGGTTTTGCCTCAGAAACTGCATTTTTGATGTCACCCCACAAGTTTTCTATTGGATTAAGAACCGAGGATTGGGCTGGCCACTCCATAACGTCAATCTTGTTGGTCTGGAACCAAGATGTTGCACGTTAACTGGTGTGTTTGGGGTCGTTGTCTTGTTGGAACACCCATTTCAAGGGCATTTCCTCTTCAGTATAAGGCAGCATGACCTCTTCAAGTATTCTGATGCATTCAAACTGATCCATGATCCCTGGTATGCGATAAATAGGCCCAACACCGTAGTATGAGAAACATCCCCATATCATGATGCTTGCGCAACCATGCTTCACTGTCTTCACAGTGTACTGTGGCTTGAATTCAGTGTTTGGGGGTCGTCTGACACACTGTCCCCGGCCACTAGACCCAAAAAGAACAATCTTACTTTCATCAGTCCAGAAAATGTTGTGCCATTTCTCTTTAGGCCAGTCAATGTGCTCTTTGGCAAATTGTAACCTCTTCAGCACGTCTTTTTTTCAACAGTGGGACTTTGCGGGGACTTCTTGCAGATAGCTTAGCTTCACATAGGTGTCTTCTTATTGTAACAGTACTCACAGGAAACTTTAGACCTTCTTTGATCTTCCTGGAGCCGATTGTTGGCTTAGTCCTTGCCATTTTGGTTATTCTATCCATTCGAATGGTAGTTTTTTTCGCTTTCGCTTTCTTCCACATCTTTCAGGTTTTGGTTGCCATTTTAAAGCATTTTAGCTGAGCAGCCTATCATCTTCTGCACTTCTTTATATGTTTTCCCCTCTCCAATCAACTTTTTAATCAAGGTACGCTGTTCTTCTGAACAATGTCTGGAACAACCCATTTTCCTCAGAATTTCAGAGAGAAATGCACTGTAATCAGCATGTACAACATTTGCTGCCTTCCTTCCTTAAATAAGGGCAATAATTGCCACCAGTTTTTCAAAGAATGAATGACCTCACTAATAACTCCACACTGCTATTATTTTGAACATGCCCCTTTCAATTAGTGATTCAATTACACAGAATCAGCAGCATGCATGTCATGACTGTTGGGTCTGTTGAATTTCTATTACTCTACTACACCTGCTAGTAAATTATTTGCCGTGTAGAAATATCATGTCTACCAAAAACAGTGATTGATCAGGTTAGTGATGTCTGAATGCTATTATTTTGAACACAACTGTATATATATATATTTTTTTTTTTTCAACAAACTCTATTGAAATGTCACACAAACATCTCAAAGTTCAATTGCTGGGGGTGCAGTGCGAGGCAGTGGATTGTCTCACACTGCACTGTCCCACACACCACCACAACGCAGTGGTACGAATCAGACACACAGATGACAAGGCATTTTGCCTTGTCTATGCAGCGGGACTGTGCTGGAATAGCTGCCAATGCAGTCACACCACATGTGGTGTGAACAGAGCCTCAGGGTCAAAAATGGGAAGTTTCCTGTAGGTCAGTTTTGATGTAACTGAAAAACCTAAGCTTAGGGTGGCCGAACAAACATCATAAACATGGATTATTGTCCAGATAATTTCTGGCATGATGAAAAATCTTTGGGCATCCAAGTTCTAGTCATTTCCTTTTTATTTCTTTAATAGGAGAAAAGGAGGGAGGCGAAGGCACTTTCACATTTCGGGGAAAATATCCTACTGGTTCTAAATAGCATTCAGTTCAAGCTGGTGTAGGCACATATCCTATCATACATTGTTCTCAGTGAGAGAGGTGTCTGCCTTTAGAAAGATATTCATTTAGATCTGGTGCAACAACAAGGGGTTAAGATACATCTACAATATTTCCTTTACATGGGGACATTTTGCACTAGCAATCCTTTTGCTGACAACTTATCTTCATCAGGAGCATTGTGTAGAACAAATACTCAACCTGTTCCATGTGATGCTTCCCCGCTGTATGGATGTGCGTGACGTCACTTGTGGGTGACATTCTGAAGTATATCTGTTACTCATGAAGCATGTGAGTAAGCAGTGCGTGGAACAAGGTGAGTATTTACCTTGGCCTGCATAGCAATCTTGTTGCTGGCGAGTGTCACCAGTGATAGGATCTCTAGCAAGACATAGGCCCTTAGAAGTTTTTAATAACATCTCGTACAGTGCTGAATGAACAACCTACTTGTTGCAGTAACCGCTTCAGCTTTAAAAGCTGCGTCTTTACAGTGGTGCAGTCTTGGACCATGTGTCGCAGAGTCATTTCATCCAGCATGACAGTGTTTTCTTGTAAGCCAATTGTCTGAGGAGACCTTGGTGACAGCGGGCTACAATAGGGACTTCCATAGCTATCTTTTTGATCAGATGGAGACTCCAGGCAAGAAGATCCCCTGTAATACAGAAATATAGATTTTATTTCATTTATACACCTAAGCCACTTTAAGACTTATTCACACCGTGCCTGTTGAACTGCTTGTTTTATTTTGCACACCACTGCACGTTTGTTGTGAACAGGGCTCGCTGAAAACGAGGCTTGTGCATATCAAAAGTGTGGGTGGTGTGTAGAAAAAAAGCACCTCAACAAACGTGTTCACACTTCTGCGGAGATACGTGTTTTTCTGCGCTAGAAAAGCACTGATCTTTACTAAGGCACATGGAAAATAATTGTTTTCGGCGTGCCCTGCTCACACCTAAAGTGTTACTAAACCCACACCAGTAAAATCATTCTACATATGCAGTAAAGCATGCTTGTTATACTCACTGTGGAACCTAAGGAGTGAATTCTCCACATTGTGTAAAAAGGAGGTTTGATCCTCTCTTCTCTGATCCTGCCCTTCTTCCATTGGCCCCCTAAATATCTCCTGATAGAACAGAGGTTTGGAGTTACTCTGCACATGCTCAGTTTGGTGTGTATTGCTATAGTGTTTTTTTTTTTTCTTGTGAGAGTGCATGTGATCAGCACAGGGCCAACCAACACTGTCCAGACAGAGGTCAGGAGTTCTGCATCCTACCTAGAGCAGAAAGAAAACTCCTTCTACAAGTCTTAACCAGTGCTCTGCTGGACACTGATAGACGTCACAAGACTGCTCTAACTGTTGATGAGAAAAGGTACTTTTAGTTTATTTACTAAAATAATAGCATGTCCATGTTCTGTGTACTATGGGAGACCAGATATAGTGAATGCAGGGTTCTGGGTTTAGTAACACTTTAAAAAGCAACCTTCCGGTAAGCTGTGATGTAGTATAGAAATCTTTCAGCTTTTTTCCATCCCCCACCACAGCTTACACTCAACTCTGTTGGCATTTGCATTTCTACACACTGCAACTCAGCACTATCTGAGCAGTAAAATGATGCGTTTTAAAAATCACCCAAAATGAGAGGGAAATTTCACTTCTCAGATCAGGTGTTCACATTGGAAGACATACAGTCTGACAACATCAACATTATACATTTCCCCCCCATTTTCACTTTCTGACAATAGCCACAATGGGTCTTTTTAATGGAAGCACAGACAGTAATAAAAGCCTGACAGAGATACTCACCCTTTCCCACTAGATACTAGATACTAGAACAAAAAGATTTGGCTGGGAATCTACTGTACTTTTAAAAAGCAGATCATTATTATAGCAAAAATTATATATACCTATTATGTTGAACTCCTGAATGTGATATTGTTGGCTCTAAATCATGCATGTTACATTTAAAATGCTTTGAATAATTTTCTATGGGGAAAGAATACAGAACATATTTTGTAGGCAGAGAGATAAAGCGGAAGAGATGACACAATGAGAATGATGCAAGGGTGTTCCACAGAGGAGGACAAGGATAAATAAAAAGTCACAACATAATAGGAATAGAGCACTTATCAAGAGTAGTATAATGATTATTTAAAAGCCATCTCTGGCTTGATCAATAGCAACCTTTGTATCAATATAACATCAAGGTTTTTTATTTTCTCAACATGAAACACAGAAGCCTTTGGAGAAGGTTCCATCACTTCTGTCAGGTTAATTTTTTACACTGAGATCAATAGCAAAAATAACGCAGCTTAGGTAGCTGCAAAAGGTCAACACAACAACATATAAAAAAAAAACAGACACATATTTTATACAAATGGAGTAAGTCAACCATTACACAGTACAAGGAAGTGTACCGGTAATACTTCATATGTTGTTGAAGGAGTTAATATGTATGGAATTCTGACTACTAATTATGGCAAATACATTAGAATAATTACCGCCAAGCCCATGTTAATAATGGAAATGAAGTAGAGGGAAATGTTGCTGCTGTAATATTAGAAATGCTTTATTTAGAACCCAGCATCACTTCCCGAAGTTGGGAAATCTTTCTGCCAAGAAAACTTATGTATAATTCTAGAGAGAAAATAAAATAACCTGTTGATTATATATTAACACAAACGCACACCCTTGTGGAAAATGTCTAAAATATAACAGTAAAAAGGACAGTGCTATAATGCTAAGAGTGCCTTTTACCAAAAGAAATTCTTACATGTTCATGTTTTTGTACAATTCAGTCACTAGTATTCCAACAGCCATGTATATGTAAAAGAATTCAAAGAATTCTTACGTGACCAAAGTAACAGGTTCTTGTGAATGCCCAGCCCATTGATATACCATTGTAATCTCCAGAGAATCTGATCTGTTCCTTTGTCACAGCTATGGCTCACCCTGTGTAAGCTCCAAGCTGCCCTATTTCAGAGAATAAGAGCATCAATAACCACCTCCCCTCCCTCATGTGACAGTGCCTGGGCCTGCCAACTGACTGCCTTACCCTCAACCCTGGATTCTCAAAGGAAAATAAAAACAGGTAATATTCTGTCTCATACCTGGAAGTACCAGGTATTTCAGAGGGAGGAACTGAGCACAGGAGGGAGAGAAGTGAAACAGTATCAGTGACGGAGTGGTGAACTTTTATGAGAACCTGTCATGTTGCCATGATTGGGCATACTGACATAATATCTTTAGAGTCTAACTGCAGCCAATGTTTTCAACTGTTTTCAGAAGAGCGGAGAGGAGCTGAAGCCTGGTACACACGGTAAGTTTTGTGCTGAAAAAAAAACAAACTGAGCAGTTTGTGATGAGGTCTCTGTACTAACTGCACAGTGATCTCCCCGCTGTGCTATTTTGTTCTGATAAAACAGAACACACCGGTCAGTGCTTGCAGCCATTGGATGAGAGTGCTGCTTGGATGCGAATCGGCTGCTGATTTTCCAGCATGCTCGTTTGACAGAAACCAGTCGTGATATCAAACAAGGACCTGTACACGAGCCAAATGTTGGCCGGTATCCACTATACTTGCTGATTTTGGCCAATGTCTGTCAGTTTTTTTTTTTTTATCTGTGACCCTATGGCAGTGATGGCGAACCTTTTTGAGCCCGAGTGCCCAAACTGCAACCCAAAACCAACTTATTTCTTTCAAAGTGCCAACACTGCAATGAAACCTGAATATCGAGCTTTTGGTTTAGAAAAAACAACTCGTACAGTAGTGCAAACTAATTAACAGTACAGGGATGACCAGAGACTGCGGACACAGTACAGGGATGACCAGAGACTGCGGACACAGTACAGGGATGACCAGAGACTGCAGACACAGTACAGGGATGACCAGAGACTGCAGACACAGTACAGGGATGACCAGAGACTGCAGACACAGTACAGGGATGACCAGAGACTGCAGACACAGTACAGGGATGACCAGAGACTGCAGACACAGTACAGGGATGACCAGAGACTGCAGACACAGTACAGGGATGACCAGAGACTGCAGACACAGTACAGGGATGACCAGAGACTGCGGACACAGTACAGGGATGACCAGAGACTGCGGACACAGTACAGGGATGACCAGAGACTGCGGACACAGTACAGGGATGACCAGAGACTGCGGACACAGTACAGGAGATGACCAGAGACTGCGGACACAGCACAGGGATGACCAGAGACTGGGGACACAGCACAGGGATGACCAGAGACTGGGGACACAGCACAGGGATGACCAGAGACTGGGGACACAGCACAGGGATGACCAGAGACTGGGGACACAGCACAGGGATGACCAGAGACTGGGGACACAGCACAGGGATGACCAGAGACTGGGGACACAGCACAGGGATGACCAGAGACTGGGGACACAGCACAGGGATGACCAGAGACTGCGGACAGCACAGGGATGACTGCTGACCTTTGGGGAGGGAGGGGGAGCGGGTACCTGAATTTGACAGGTACCCGCTCTTACTTCCGCAGAGTTTTTTTTTTTTTTTTATCTTACCTGTTCCTTGATCCAGCCGCGCGCTGTCTTCCCGGCTTCTGTAGTGTGGGCGCTCGTCGGACAGCTGGATGCCCAGTGCGCATGCGCGAGAAGCGCTGCGCTTTGTGATTGGTCCGGCGGCTTCTGGGATCTGTCATGTGTCCCAGGTACCGCCTTACCATTCACAAGGAGCACTGCTTCTTGTGCATGCGCACTTGGGACCCGGCTGTCACGCACACTACAGCCGGGAAGACAGCGCGCCGCTGGATTCTCCTGGCGTGCCCACAGATAAGGCTCGGCGTGCCGGCTGTGGCACGCGTGCCACGGGTTCGCCACCACTGCCCTATGGAAAAATGTTCCCTGTTTAATGTCCTGAATCACCAGGGCAAGAAAAAGGGAGCAGTTGTCAACTAGAGGGCAAAGTACAGGGAAAAAAAAACCAAAACAAATATGTCATCAAAATCTAAAGTTCCATGTCCCCAGACATTGTTATTGTTTTTTTTAATTGTCTGGAGCTAGACTTTAATATGGAATTCACAGTTAAACCTTACCTACACTTACAACTGTCTCCTCACCCCTCCTAAACACCTTTGCTTACAAACCTGTGTAAGAAAGCTGTATATATTTACCTATTTTTAGCCCACTCTTGTCTGGTCACATGACCATCCCTGTGTCTGCCAGCAGAGAGGACAGAGCGTTCCAACAATAGCTAGTAAAGGCTGAAGTAGTGATGTTACCCATAGGCTTATTATGGCCCATCTGCTGTTGACACTTCCTCCTCTTCCCTGAACCAACGATGGCTGACACACAAGTACCAGATCACGTGACCAAACCACAGCAGGCTGAAAATAGTATATACATCTTTCTTACATAGGAATAGTGTTAAGAGTAGTTAGGGTTAAACCTGGAATTCTACTTTAAAGTGGTTCTACAGTCTCAAGGTTTTTACTTTCATGCATTCTATGCATGAAGGTAAAAAACCTTCTGTGTGTAGCAGCCCAACCCTCCCACTCCAACACTTACCTGAGCCCCCTCTTGATCCAGCAATGTCCACGAGAGCCTTGGTTCTCTGGGGACTCTCACTCCTGACTGGCTGAGGTAGCAGCAGAAGCTATTGGTTCCTGCTGCTGTCAATCACAGCCAGTGAGCAAATGAGGAGAGGGAGGGGACGGCGGTGGGAATAGACACGCAGAGCTGCAGCTCAGGAGCGTGCCTGCTTTGGTGCCCCCATAGCAAGATTTTTGCTATGGGGGCACCAGACAGGAGGGAGGAACAGGAGCTCCGTGGAGGACCTGAGAAGAGGAGGTACTGGGCTGTGCAAAACCACTGCACAAAGCAAGTATGTATGACAATATTTAACCACTTCACCTCTGGAAGATTTATCCCCCTTCATAATGCAGCGCCATTTTTTGTGATAAGGCACTGCGTTACTTTAACTGACAATTGCGCGGTCATGCAACGATGTACATAAATTCAATTTATGTCATTTTTCTCCAAAAATAGAGCTTTCTTTTAGTGGTATTTAATCTGTATTTTTTGCGCTATAAATGAAAAAAACACACCAACATTTGTAAAAAATAAAAAAAAAAATACTATTTTTTACATTCTGCTATAAAACATATCCCAATAAAAAAAAATAAAAAAATCTAATTTCTTCATAAATTTAGGCCAAAATGTATTCTGTTACATATATTTGGTAAAAAAAAATACATACAGAGTTGTGTTATGTCAGTCTCCACAGCAATCAACAAGTACCGGAGCTCATCCAATTGTCAGCACCTGTTGATCGGCTTCTGCTGTATCCAATCACAGCATAAATGGCGCTCTGGCAGCAGGCATGGGCCCCCCAATGACAGAAGTGCAAAGTCACATTTATATACACAATTTTGCACAGAATGACCACCCTGTAGCAGTATATTTGCTACATGGCTACAGCAAGTGGTTAGAAAAAAAACAAAAAAACAACAAGACTTTAGTGTCACTTTAAAGGTGAATTTCAGGAACCCAGCTGCTTTGTAAAAGTGAAGAAACCTATGTGGTAAATCTAGGGAGGTGCACAACATCTTCAGGGCTTATCTCCATTACTCATAGCTCATAATTTTTTATAGTTCTCCCTGAAGACAGCTATAACCATTTCTGGGAGCCCAATGCTAATCATTCAGGTCGGCATCTTCAACAGCAGAGTTGCTGCAGCTGCTATGACCACCCTTCCCCTCCTCCCCTATCACACAATACAAAAGGCTTCTGTGAATGGACAGCAGAGGAGAGAGCCAGGTATAGCTGCTCTGTACACTTCTCTCCTCTCAGATCCCAGACTGTCTCTATGGCAGAGCAATAAACTTGTCAGATGTAAACAGAGAGCAGTCCAGGAGATATCATGCACCTAGCTGGACTCAGCACATGGTGTGCATTAGCTTTTTGCAAAGTGGCTGAATTCCTGGAATTCAGCTTTAAACTACAAATTAAACCTAACAAATTTTGAAGCAGATTTGGAAAAAGAAAAAAAAAAAACGGTATTAATTGCCTTTTCTGCAGGGCTCTGTGCTTTTAAGAGATTGGGGGCTTGCACGTTCTGGGTTATATTCCATCTTCCTTTCTCATGTAAAAGCCTGCTTGTGATTATCACTGGGATTGTAACATTAAGATACAGGTAAGCGGCTCTGCATTTGGGTTCACAAGCAGCCAATCTTCAAAGAGCTGGCAAAAGTATCTTCTTGGAAGACAGAATATAGCTGGGAGGACGCTGTTGCTAAAGCAGTATTAGCTTTTTTATACTGAGATTGCAGTTCAAATAAAGGATCTGCAATATAAGTGCAGTTATTATTCTTTCAAAAGAACAAAAAAAAAATCTGTCCTTTACATTTTCGTTTTATAATCAGCCGCACATTCCCTCTCTGGTATTATTATTATCATTACATCGAGTTTATATAGCGCCAAAGGGTTTGCTCAGCGCTGTACAATAGAGGGGGGGGGACAATACATGAAACAGTACAGCAACAACAAACAGCACACGAGGGGTTAGAGGGCCCTACTCTTTCGAGCTTACAATCTAGGTATGGAAGTAGATGGCTGTTCATACCTGCCATTGTGGTAGTGTTCAGGATTGCTTAGGTGGTATTGCTCTTGTCCATTAAGTCGGGGAGGATTCCTCTTCCAAAACAGTTTTTGTTGCCTCAAACTTCGCTCAGATCTATCAAAACGACTCATATTCTCAACTTCACCTACAATTCATCAACACAAAATTCAGCACAATTGTAAAACACATGAAAATAGTTTGTTTTCATGAAGAAAAAAAAACCTGCGCAAAATAGATAGATAATACATATACATGCATATTTCATGTGTTATCCCTTTCAAGACCCTGAAAGTACAGAACAATACCTGCTGACCCGCCAAACATGCACCCTAATGCCTTGTTGTGATTTTTGTGCATTCATTCACACCCAGTAAGTGCTTATGAAAGTGCTTTTACAGAGGTTTTTTTTTTTGTGCATTTTTTTTTTTTTACAAGCTTTTTTGCACATGTATTCAAGCTCCTGAGTGGGAGAAGAGTAGAGGAAGAAGGATACTCCGGCTCAAAAACACATAAAACAGCTAGTGTTTAGAAGTACTTCCACTGAAGCCTATGGGGCCAAAAACACACAAGGCAGCTCTAAAATCGCACATGTATCTATTTGGGCTTCGAGTGTACAGATGTGAACAGCCTGCAATGTAAACAATACTATTGCTAAGCATTGTCACACTGACTGTCACACACATTGTGTCAACAATGCAAAGTCTAAGTGTTAAAAGAAATTAAAGAAAGTGAGAACACAATAATGACTTTATAGCATGATCAACAGGTTTTTTTTTTTTTTTTGTTTTTTTTTTTTTTATATAACAAAATGCTTTCAATAGTAACTGGCCAAAAGGGAGTAAATCAGGGAAGTTAATTATGGATTTACACAGACTTTGGGAGCAAAATCGGCAAGTCCAGAATTTTGTTCTCCAATACCATCTCATGAAATCAAAACTAACCACCAAACCAAAACAACAAAATATATTCCCTTTTCCACATCATCTACATATGAACAGCAGTAAAAGGCAATAGAATACAAAAATCTGTGGTACAAATACAAAGTTACAATGTTCTTTTCCCAGAAAGAATGCAGCAAGCAAGAATTCTCTCTCAGAGAAAGGGCTGCTCTGTTTCATGGCCGTTCATGTAACACAGAAGTGAAAACCTCCCATTTCACTAATGAGGTCTTAGCAGTGTGTTCAAAACAAGCCCTAAAAAGATGAACTTATCTAAGCCGAGATAAAAAGCTCAAGCCAAGAAAGTACATATCATACTGTAGAAATCTTAAGAAACTAACATACCGGAGACCGTAGAGATGAAGGAAGACGGCCGAGATCAGTAAGTTTACACAGAACTTTTCCATCTAGACGCCATCAGCTACTTACCCAAACAGCAGAGTTACACAAGGGAAACATTGTGTCATTCTCCTGATGAGTCCTGCATACTGCATAGAAGACATTTAACAAACAGGCCTTCCTTCCTACTGTATTCCCACCCTCCGTGCGGCTGGGAATAGGGCCCAGTTTTGTCCTGTGACTTGAAACTCTGCCCTAACTAACCACTTGCATAGCTAGCACACTAGAGCGGAGGCTTTAAATAGCAGCACCTCTCGCAGTCAGGCAAACTTGATGCGGGAAGGCTTCTGCAACACAGCACAAACTTTACCGACTGGATTCCTAGACTTCCTCACTAGACGTCAAGAATGTAAGCAAAACATCTGATTTTATTTTAATAAAAAGAAGTGTTGCTGCAATCAACCACAAGAGGTTAACAGGCACATTCCTGCAGGAAAAGGATTGGTGAGATTAAGAGGTTAAAGACGCGAAGCAGGATTCTTCATGTAAAATCATGCTCTGAGTGCAGGACAAAAACTAAAACATTCATTCATTAGTTTGTCTGCTACTCACAAAGGCTTAACAAGTTATCTGAAAAACATTCTAAAAGGAAATAGTATATGAATCCTGATGGCGATAATTGTAATGCAGTTTTATCTGTGTAAACTGGTTCAGATGTATAGTAACAGAAGGTTGTACACGGGACCTGCAAATCACCGGCCCTAAAAATTTGCACCAGTAAGCTGTCTGCATTTTTATTTGTGGAGAACCACACCTCTCAGTGTTCCAGGATTAAGGCAGCCACAGCACAGGGTAAAGTGCCACATGTGATGACACAGAAGAGTCACAATTAAAGCGGTGGTCAACTCCGTTAACAAAACAAAAAATGTGGGCCCCCAGGTGGATTAAGCCATAATGTGCTAGTATGCACCACATACTAGCACATTATGGCAAACTTACCTTAAAGCCTACCAGGGTGCACTGTCACCGCTGAAAGGGATTCCTTCTCCACCCGTTCTTTCTTCCAGGTTCATAGGCTCCAACAGCTTGAATGGCCGAGCCATGATGATATCACTCCCACATATGCGCACGGGAGCCATGGCCACAGCACTCTGAATTGAGGGCATACCCAGTGTTTTGTCAATTCAGAGCACAGTGCACATGCACCAGTGACGTTCCAGTGTGAATATCTCCTAAACACCGCAGGTTTAGGAGATATTCATTGTACCTACAGGTAACCCTTATTATAGGCTTACCTGTAGGTACAAGTTCAAAAGCAGAGCTTACCATCACTTTAAATTCAGAGATCAAAATGAAATGGAAATCTCTATTAGGGTACATCTTTAAGGCGTGTCTGAATGCAGCACATTGCTTTCAATGGGCCTGTGCACAGAGATGTTGTAACATCAGTAAACTGGAGCTACGTTTAGAAAGGTTTTAAAAAAATAAAAACAAAAATCTGCATTACTGGTCAGTATTTTACTTGAGAATACGTGTGTAAATTCCCCTTAAACAGCAGTTATATTTGAATATCTGGCATTCTGGGAGCTAAAAGAATTTTTACACAATATGCAGCCCATACCCACTTTTTTTGACCAGGAACTTTCTGTTGAGAAGATCCAGCATTCATATGTGAGTACAATATGCAAGAACAAGATTTTCCTGTACTGGGAATGCTACTGCAGACCTCCTTCTGAAACTGCTAGTTGCCTGCCTGTCTCTGATTCCGATAATTCCACTAACTTCAAAGAACCATACATATCCAGGAAAGACAACAAGAAGTCTAGACTTCTAATTTGAATACATGTTTATGGCCAGCGACTAAAGCTGGATATACACGGCCACTTCGGTTTTCCATGCAACCACTGACAATGCTGGTTTTTCAGCAAGACGTCGACAAACCAGCTGCTGTTGAACAGACGGCAGTACAAAAACCTAAACTTGGCCACTTCATGCTGAACTAGCCGACTTTCAGTATATGTGTACCAGTCTTTAGAACATATTGAAGCCACTATCTCAGCATGTGGCAGCAAGCAACTAACATTTTCATGGGAGGTAAGCAACCTCAGTACAGGTTTCCTTCCTGCTCAATAGCAGTTGGTGAACCCTGGAGCTCTAATCTTTGGTTCCCCTGGCCAGGACTGGGAGGTGGTCATGGGATGATACTTACCCTTACCGGTGTGATGGACTGTGTCAAGGGTGGACACATTTCTTGTACACCTGACCTTGTGAGCACATTTTAATGATTTAAAACAATTGCTACTACACCATATGCAGTTTGCACTGTGTTGTCCTTTGCCTCCTTTTTTTGGCGTTTCGCACAGACTGTGAGTTAAGCCCTAATACTGAGACTGTAAAACGTAAACATTGGGTGCATTTCTGCAACCCAGGGTACACAGCTGTTGCATACAACAAACCATAAAAATGAATGCCTGTATGCAGCCATGCACAGATTCACACCACTATTTACATAAACCTGTGCATGCGCACAGGGGTACACCAGGCGCAGACAGTCTCACACAGTCCCACCTTATTCTACCTAAAACATAGATCTATATGTTGTCTTCTTGTCACTGTATCCAGAAAATAGGAAAATCTGAACACATAGCATATTGAATCCTGGCTTCTCTAGTATGAATGATTGCTAGGAGGATTAATTTTGCAACTTAAGCCAATAAAAATAACTGGCGCAAAGCACACAATGGGTTATCAGAGTACATAGAGACAGTCGGGTGGATAAGACCGTGCACACACACAGAACAGTACGGTTGGTAATCAAGAACAGAAAACAAGGATGTTCAGCATCCTGCAATAAACAGGTACAACAGTATATAGTAGGTATGAAAGAACATCTCCACATAATGGATGTTCAGGGTCCTAGAGCACAGAGATGGGAAAAGGGAATCACAGAGCATGTATGTATGTATGTATGTATGTATGTATATATATATATATATATATATTAATTACACACACATACATATATTATTATTATACAGGATTTATATAGCGCCAACAGTTTGCTCAGCACTTTACAATATAACAGGAGACAATACAGCAACAATACAGTTCAATACAAGAGGGATAGGAGGGCCCTGCTCCTTGGAGCTTACAATCTACACACACACACACACACTGCTCATGGTCTGGTGTGATGTCTCTCAACTTTTTTAAAGTGTTACTAAACCCTGGACCCTGTATTCACCATATCTGATTTCCCATAGTACACAGAACATGGAAATGCTATTATTTTAGTAAAAGAAACTGCTAAATACCTTTTCTCATCAGCAGTATATTGCAGTCTTGTGACTTCTATCATTGCCCAGCTGAGTACTGATTAAAACTTGTGGGAGGAGTTTTCATTCTCCTCTGACTGTCCTTTGAGGCTGCATGACCCCTGACCCTCTGTCTAGACAGTGCTGATTTTGGCCCTGTGCTGATCACATGCACCATCCCAAAGGAAAAAAAAAAAAAAAAACTCTAGCAATGCACACTTAACTGAGCATGTGCAGAGTGAATCCTAGGGCTCTGTTCTATTAGCAGATGTATAGGGAACTTTGGAAGAAGGGGGGGATCAGAGAAGTCAAGATCAAACAGCCTTATTACACAAAGGAGTATTAACCCCTTAGGTTCCACAGTGAGTAGAACTAGCATGCTTTACTGCATATACAGACTGATTCTACAGTTGTGGGTTTAGTAACACGAAGTCAAGGCACCCTTTAAAAGTATACACAATTTCGAGACACCCAATTTGAAAATGTAAAACACAAAACTAATACTTTTACATAATGCAGCAGCACCAACACATCTGGGCCACCCAACATTAGAGGTTATTCATTTTACAAAGCATCAGTTAGGGCCATATATATTTGGACACAGGCACAATTTTAGTTTTTTTCAGGTATTTACCAAAACATATTCAAGCTATAGTTATATAATGGATATGGGATGAAAGTGCACACTCTCAGGTTTAATTTGAGGGTATGTACATCCAAATTGGAGGAAGGGTTTAGGAATTACAGCTCTTAAGATTAGCCATCCCCCTGTTTTAAGGGACCAAAAGTAATTGGACAATTGAATCAGAAGCAGTTTCATGGCCAGGTGTGGGCTACTCCATTACTCCATCAATTAAGCAGGTAAAAGGTCTGGAGTTGATTCTAAGTGTGGTATTTGCATATGGAATCTATTGCTGTGAACCTATATCATGCGTCCATGCAAGTGAAACAGGCCATTGTAACCAACAGTTTGGTACATTCTGAGGAAAGAAGAACACACTGATGATCTCAGCAACATAAAAAAAGCCATAGACGTTCACAGAAAACAACAGTGCTGATGATCGCAGGATCCTCTCAATGGTGAAGAAAAACCCATTCAAAACATTCAGACAAGTGCAAGACACTCTAGAGGAGGTGGGCGTATCATTGTCAAAGTCTACAATCAAGAGAAGACTTCACGAGAGCAAATACAGAGGGTTCACCACAAGGTGCAAACCATTCATAAGCCTGAAGTATAGAAAAGCCAGATTAGACTTTGCCAAAAAAAAATCTAAGAAAAAGCCAGACCAGTTCTGGAAAAGCATTCTTTGGACTGATGAAGCTAAGATTAATCTGTACCAGAATAACAGGAAGAAAAAAGTGTTGAGAAGGCTTGGAACAGCTCATGATCCAAAGCACACAACATTATCTGTAAAACATGGTGGAGGCAGTGTGATGGCATGGGCATGCATGGCTTCCAGTGGCACTGGGCCATTGGTGTTTATTGATGATGTGACAGAAGCAGCTGAATGAATTCTGCAGTGTTTAGAGATATACTGTCAGCCCAGATTCAGCCAAATGCAGCAAAGTTGATTGGACGGCGCTTCACAGTACAGATGGACAATGATCCAAAACACACTGCAAAAGCAACCCAAGAGCTTTTGAAAGAAAAGAAGTGGAATATTCTGCAATGGCCGAGTCAATCACCTGATCTCAACCCAATTGAGCATGCATTTCACTTGCCGAAGGCAAAAGTAAACGCAGAAAGACCCATAAACAAAAAAATGAAGACAGCTGCAGTTCGAGCCTGGCAAAGCATCAGAAAGGAGGAAACCCAGTCTTTGGTAATGTCCATGGGTTCCAGACTTCAGGCAATCATTGCTAGTAAAGGATTCTCAACAAAATATTAAAAATGAACATTGTATTTATGATTATATTCATTTGTCCAATTACATTTGAGCCCTTGAAAATGGAGGGACTGTGTATAAAAATAGTTGCAGTTTCTAAAATTTGTACTTGATATTTATATTCAACCCCTTGAATTAAAGCTGAAAGTCTGCACTTCAAATTCATTTTGATTGTTTCGTTTTAATTTATTCTGGTGGCATACAGAGCCAAAAAGTATGAAAATTGTGCTTGTGTCCAAATATATATGGATTTAACTGTACATGTGCACACTGGTGTGGACCTGTATTCTAGCATTTCTCTTCTCCCTCAGTTTCTCCCTCACTCAGCTAACATAACCCCAGTGCTCACAGACAGTGGCAGGGAAGGTGCAAACAAGAAAGTCTTCAGGGCAGCAACTGACCCACATGGTGTTCATGGTGGTAATGCTGCACAATAAAACCTGTGGCATTGTCTACCAAAAAAGACAGGCTTGATTCATTCATTGGCTTGTTGACAATTATTGGGCAACTGGGGCAAATTTAAGCAATTTGGATTCTGAAAAACATGGCACCCTGGTTGAAAAAGGCTGGTCTGGAGTACACAGACAGGATATGTGAATCACAGAACATACACACAAAATTGGTGTATATGGTTCTGGAGTACACAGGGACAGTAGATGAAAATCAAAGAACACACACACAGTGGGTGTTTATGATCTTGGTGTGAACAGAGATAAAAGTGTAAGTACCAATCAATCTTCAGAAAGCCTAAAAAGTGGCTGAATCTGATAGGATGCAGCCATTGTTTTGCCAACAATTATACTTTCAACTCCTTAGAATTTTCAATAGAAGGGTGTTGGGTAATGATAGGAACACCCATTGAGCAAATTTTGTCCGGTTCATTAGAAGCTGGCCAAAATTTGAACAGTCTATGATCAGCTTGAGTCATTTCAACATCCACAAAACAAACATTCAATAGGCAGCAGACAAACTGAATTGTTATACTGACAGCAAAATACTAACCAGGGTCACATGGCGGGTCCTCTGGTATTTCCACATCAAGCATTAGGTCATCCTCTTCCAAGTCACAGGTCTCAATATTATTGAGGATGTCCTGTAAAAAAAAATACAGTATATCAGTGTCAAACACACACAAACTGCAGGCACTAAGAGGCATGCAACATTAGAAGGTTTCCAGAGTGCCCAGGAGTCTGGACATGAGAAACCGTTAATTATGAAAATACACAACTTCAGAAACTTGAACCAACTCTCTTCCACACCTAGTTGTCCAAAACAGAGGTGGGCTCAATACAGGTGGGAGGGAGCAGGCCACGGCTCTACTTTAAAAAATTATGTTATCTGTATGATTGAGCAGAGTTTTAGGCCCCAATCACATTTGGAATGGGTTCATTAGCAATTACATGAGGGACACCTGGCAGGGTTACCCAGTGATTAACTGCAGACGGAAACCTAATTAAAAGCAATGGGAGGCTGATAGCTCCTGCAGCTAACTGTAGCAGCTCCATGTAATTGCTCATGGAGCGGCTGCTTGCAATAATCAGCCCTGGACACAGACTGGCTTTCAATGGGGCTTCAGTCCATGGCTAAACACTGGGAATCCCCGTATGTAATCGCTAAGGACTTATTTCACAAGTGTGAGGGTTCCAATTGTGGAGTCTGAAGGTACCAGATCCCCTCTAAACAAAAGGAGGCCAACAATCCCCTGTTGAAAACTAAGGAGAATAAATAGTATAAACTAAAGACTTGTAAAATGTCAAACTGAGTATAGTAAACACCAATGCAGACTAAACAGAATGAAGGAACACATTTCTCATATTTGCAGGAGGCAAAATTACTGATCAATTTGTTTTCACTACAGTGGAAATATTGCACGTTGCAAATGAAACGCCAGATGTGGATCTGTAAGGCAGATGAGATTGCGTACTAATAAAATAAATTTTCGTACAGGCATTTTACACACATTTATGTAACAATTTCAATAGCTGTTTGTACAGCTCATCAGAATCTATTTGAACTGAATCACTCCAAAGTAGACACACTGCAGCAAAATCATTAAGGACTTCATCTAACTAGTCGGTTTTGCAATTGGTTCTGACTTTGTACAATAGTCTCTTTTATGCACCCAAGGTTCTATATAATGGAACAAGACAGGCAATTGTCTTTTTACTTCCCAGCAAGAAATACAATTGGGAAGAGAGAAATTGGAAGGTACATTTTGTCACTGTTCACATTTCAGATTCAAGCTCTTGGAAATCAGTAAAACAACCTGTACAAAGATCATGCACAGATTTACAGAATACAAACCACCAAAAGCAGCTGGTTTTAAACATTAAACTTAAAATTTTGGATAGAGCAGGGAAAGGACATGATCCCTATCAGATCATTACTGATAACTGTGAACCTCTTGGGTCAGACCCTCATTTCTTGTGTGGTCACTGGGAATATCAGGAGAATGTCTCCAATGAGAGCACAGACAAATATTAAAACACCGTTGAAGCTGTATGATCTTCAATAAACATTTATGATACAAGCAAAAAAAAAAAAAAAACACACACCATTGGTTAGTAGAGTAGGCAAGATTTAGAGCCTCTAAAGCTGACCATACACTGACTGAAAGCAGGAACCAAATTAATTTCAAACGGTGCGTGGCCATCCTTGCTCAACAGAAGTGGATTGTTTAACTGATCTTTGACAAAAAAACATGTTGAAAAATTATAAAGGCCTTATATACAGTTGTGGCCAAAATTATTCAACCCCCAATGCTGTAAAGGGGTTTAGGGACTATAGTGTACATTTGGAATTGTATTCAGAATCAAATCCTACAAGGACGTTGTAACTACCCAAATGCAACTAAAATGACATCAATTGTTTATGTAATACAGTAGTAAATGGTTCTTATGTGGTTTCTTCATTGCCACAATTATTCAACCCCTTAAAGACTACCACTCTGAAGAACAGAGGTTCATACAGGTGCTTTCCATCAGGTATTGAAAACACCTGTGGATGTCACCGAGCAGCAATCAAGCATAATAAGCACCAATTAGGCAGCTTTAAAATGACTGTGATACTCAGCTCCTTCTAGACATTTACTGGTGTGGTTACAAACATGGTGAAGGCAAGAGAATGGTCCAGGAAGACAAGAGAAGAGGTGATTTCTCTTCACAGGAAGGGCAATGGCTATAAGAAGATTGCAAAGATGTTAAACATACCAAGAGGACACCTTAGGAAGCATCATTCGCAAATTCAAGGCAAAGGGCACTGTTGAAACGCTACCTGGTCGTGGCAGAAAGAAGATGCTGACTTCGACTGCTGTGCGCTACCTGAAGCGTAGAGTGGAGAGAAGTCCCCGTGTGACTGCTGAGGAACTGAGAAAAGATTTGTCAGATGTGGGTACAGAAGTTTCAGCCCAGACAATAAGACGCACACTGCGTAATGAAGGCCTCCGTGCCAGAACTCCCAGGCGTACCCCTTGCTGTCTCCAAAGAATAAAGAAGAGTCTGCTGCAGTATGCCAAAAGCCATGTGGACAAACCACAAAAGTTGTGGGATAGTGTTCTGTGGACTGATGAAACAAAATTAGAACTGTTTGGGCCCATGGATCAACGCTATGTTTGGAGGAGGAAGAACAAGGCCTATGATGAAAAGAACACCAATGCCTACTGTGAAGCAGAATGAAGGAGGGTCAATCATGCTTTGGGGGCTGTTTTGCTTTCTGCAGTGGTACAGGGATATTGCGTTGCAGCGTGTGGATCTGTAAGGTACCATGAATTCTCTTCAGTACCAGGAGATATTGGATGGAAACGTGATGCAGTCCGTCACACACCTGAGGCTTGGAGACGTTTGACCTTTCATCAGAATCATTTGACAATGATCCTCAAGCATAGACCACTGCCATTAGGACTTCATCTAGCATGGTTGCAGAGGAAAGTCGGAACATTTTGCAAGTTGGCCTGAGTCACAATTAAATCTCGATTGATGAACCTCTGGTGGGACTTAAAGAAAGCAGGCAATTGTCACTTCCCAGCAAGCCTAAATTGTGAAGAGAACTGGAGGCCTTTTGTCCATGTTCACATTTCAGATTCAACCCTTAGAAATCGCTGCAAACAACTTGTGTCAAGCTATGCTTCAGATTTACAGAATAAAACACCAAAAGCTGGTTATAACTGTAAAATTTTGGATAGGCAGGGAAAGGACATGTACTATCAGTACTAAACTGAACCTTGAATGTCATTTCTTGGGTGGTCACTGAATATCAGGAGAATGTCTCCAATGAGAGCACAGACAAAATTAAGACATTTGTGGCTGTATGATCTTCATTAAAACTTTATGATACATTTGTCTGAAAAAAAAAAAAAAGCACACACCATTGGTTAGTAGAGTAGGCAAGATTTAGAGCCTCTAAAGATGACCATACACTGACTGAAAGCAGGAAGCAATGTTTCAAACGGTGCGCCAAAACCTTGCTCAAGAAGTGGATTGTTTAACTGATCTTTGAATAAAAAAACATGTGGCCAAATTATAAAGGCTTATATAGCTGAAGCACCCAAGGCTGCCAAACAATATGTAAGTGCAATCATACCCAGAAGGGACACTTACAGACCCACTACAAGAGGGATTATGGCCATTATGACTAGGTCACCATCAGTGTGCTAGAGAGTCATTACTAGCAAGGGCTACTCATGGATCAACTGTGAAGGAGGTGGTGTTAAAGGCCAGCTATGGTGAGATCACCATAGGCAACTGTGTCTCAAGTTGGAACCACTAGAGTCACCTAAAGACCCACTGCAAGCAGCAGAGGACAATGGGCATGCATGACTAGACAACCCCAAGCTCCTGTACAAACAGTAAACCAATGAGATGGTACCACCAAGAGATACTCGCAGACCACTGCAAAAGAAGCAGGGTGAAAGGCAATGTATGATGAGGTCACCTCAGGGAACTTACTGACTGCAGAGCAGGAGAGCCAATGGTCATCCGAGTTCAGTACACCACAGGTCATCATTCAAACTGTATGTAAGTAAGGAAATATGTGCAAAAGTTACTAACAGACCAACAGAGGAGCAGGAAAGTTGAATGCCAATTGTGACCAGAACACCCTAGACCACCATACAAACACTATGCAAGTGAATCAGCACCTGTAAAGGTTACTCATGGCCATCCTGACTGGATCACTGTAGGGCACAATGAAACACTATGCAGTCCTAGCAAGAGTTACTTACAGACAGACTGCAAGGCAGAAGAGGCTAAGAGTAATTTTTGACTAAGACACCCTAAGCCACCAATATGTGAGTCAATACCAACAAGTTACTCACAAACTGGCTGTGCTGCAGAAGGATTTACAGGCCCACTTATGGGCATGTGTGACACTTTAGAAAAGTATCACAGTACAACAAAACAGAACAAAACGGTGCACCGGTGGTGTGTCTGCCAAACAAAGTGGCGAAGCACCATCATTGAACTTCCACTTAGTTTAATCACCAATGCTGGTCCAAGTGGACAACAGATGACTCCAGCAGTAGGGATCCCAAACAAAATTAACTTTACAAGTGTGCGCATCTTCAAAGGGGTCTTCATGGGCTCCCCCACCAGGAGAAAACGCTCGTGGACCTGTACATCTCCCTGTGGCTAATTTAACAGCATGCACCATGTGTTATAGTTGAGCATGCACACAGGATCCTGTGCCTGAAGCAACTTAACAAGCCAGTAAGTAAGGAAATATGTGCAAAGAGTTACTAACAGACCAACAGAGGAGCAGTGCGTTCAAAAAGTATGTTCTTATGTTGCAGCCTGATACTACAGTTGTTTAAATTATTTTTCTCATTAATCTACACTCAGAACCCCATAATGACAAAGTGAAAACAGAATTTAAGAAATGTCTATGAATTTATGAAAAAGAAAAAACTGAAATATATCACATTAGACAAGGTATTCAGACCCTTTGCAGCAACACTTGAAATTTAGCTCAGGTGCCTTCCATTTCTTTTGATTATTGCTGAGATGTTTCTACACCTTGATTGGAGATTGTGGCAAATTAAACTGATTGGACGTGATTGGAAAGGAGCACCACTCTCTATAAAAGGCCTCAGAGTGGACA